GGCAGCAATGGACATGGAACAAATAATGTTGTTCACAATACACCAGCGCTTGATTATTTTGGTAAAAGACATTGGACTGCAATTACTCCTCATCGGCGACAGTGTCCCCCATTGGCCAGCCGGGGGCAGACGAATTCACCGTCAGTCAGGACAGTATTTGAGTCTTGCTCCTTTGATGGTATCAACGCTGCAAGAGTTCCTTTCAGAGCTAGTTCGTGGCGAGCTGTGCTAGGCCATTTTAGATGGCGCACATAACATAGTCACGGTTAAAACCTAGAGCTGCCCCTTCAGGGAAGGCAAGGCGTTAGTTATGAGTAAAAATATCTGTCCAGCACTACGGACACATCCATATGCGCTCAGATTCCCCTCTCAACATATTCATCAGCGTCGTGTGGGTAGTAATGCCAGTCCTATGTTGGTTAACAAGACTTCGTGTGCGTCCTGTGTGCTTCTCATGCTTGGCTGTGCCGATCTTTACTTCCAATTCGCGTATTCTTAGAAGTGATGTGGGCACGTTCCTTCCAAAATCCTCAGAACGTCCTATCTCTCTAAGGCAGTGACAATGTCTGTGTGATCCATGGGCTGACCATCTTCAATTAATGTAGCACCTGGCAGGCTATCATCTTTTTTATTACTAACAACGCCTGCATGCCATGGGACGAATATGAAGGTAACTGCACACACAGGAGTTTTGCAATGACTCAAACCACTGTCTGCGTAACCAGCCTGCCCTGACTCGCCGGATCATGCTCAAAGAGTCACTCTAGCCACATGAAAGCTTGTGTCACCGCCATCACATCCATCTCATGCTGTTGGTAGTCATGGAGAAGGTATCGCTGGCTTCTTGAACTTTGCCTGAAGAGCGAGCTGTAAATGCCCATGCACTCTTATGTCCTCGTATAACGGACCCGTCTGTGAAGATCACCATATCTGAAAAGGTGTAGTCAGATCCTTTGGGAGCAAGTGAACAAATGCGGTGTGGTCTGGAAAGAATGGTGCAGCTAGGAGCGACCAGTGGGATCTGGTTGATGACACTTTTCACGTGGAAGAAAGGCAAAAAAAGGCCATGGAATCCAACTGCTACTGGCACCATTGGCATTAAAACTCTTCTCTGGCTGCTGAAGATGAGGATGGTGCTCTTATGGGAATGTCCAGAAAGCTGCAACTCATTTTAACTGCGATGTCAATTCCTAACTCAATTGAAATCATCTGAAACCCCTTAGCAGCCAAGGGGTTCTGGACGATTTTCAACACTTAAGGGAATGGTGAGATGGACCTAGTTAAAAACTAAATTACTGGTGCCATCAGAACTGGAAAGCTGTGCTTGCTGCTGAAGATGGAGAAAGAAAACTTAGGGTGTATCCTGAGTGTTGTGATGTTGATTCTGATTTCAACATTGATGTGAATGTTTATAACATATGATAATATGATGTAACCTAGAAAGTAAAGACTTTCAAAAATCTTTTCCTTTTTCTCCCTCTTCTTTGTTCACCAACTGTAAGCCCCCATGGGACAGTCCTGGTTCTTCGACCACATGAACTTTGTCCCAGGGCCTGGCTTTTGCCTGTACATCTGTCCTACCCGACTTATTTATGTCTAGTTGGAAGTTTCTTGCCACACAGGCAGATGTACTCTCACTTCAGAGAAAGCTCCCAGTTGTTGACTTATACAACATGCTTGTTGGGAATCCAGTGGATTTATCCCCCCCCCCCCTTTTTCCCATAGGGCCCTGGACCCCAAAAATGGCAAATGTTCGAACCTATATGCCGACTGATCTATAAAGTATTGGTCTGTATGTTCTGTAAGTATGTTCAATATGCCCTAAAGATGTGGGAAAGGGCCCTTTACTCTACTTATATAAAATACAAGCTGGGTTAACATAAAATATGTCACCAATCAAACAATTAAGTAAACAAATAACGAAAGAAAAACACATTAGTTTTTTTTTTTTTTTAAGTATTTTTTCTTTACAGATGCAATTTGTAGCATCAACTATGTCAGAGCTATTCAACAGTGCGTCTGTGGGCCACAAGTGACCTGCAGATCACTGCTGAATGCTGAATTAAGAATTAACATCACAGCACCCGGGACACTCCCATAAGCACTCCATCCCCATCTTCAGCAGCAAGCGAAGAGTTTCAATTCTGATAGCACCAGTAACTGTCTGATTGTACATCGGTCTCGCCCTTCCCTCAATTGTCGAGCATCAGTCAGATCTTCTGGTAATTCCCCCCGCAGCTCCATTCTCCTCATACCTTAATGATCTATTTGTGCCTCCAGACTGTTCACTCACTCCCAGGGGCTCTAATAAAATCTAGTTTGTCATACATCAATTCACCATCAAGTGCTGCAGAACCAGCCAGTCCATCTGCGTGTTCATTTCCTAACACACCTGCATGATACCGGAGAAAACTATCCAAAGGATGCTAACAACCCAGGACTTCTGAAGCCATGCATGCCACTCTGCACGGAGCACTATCAGTTGCACTGTATTAATGATCTTTTTTTTTACCTTTGATGGTCTCCCAGGATCTTTGCCGGTGCTACATAGCCTGAGCACTGTGTTGAGCTTCTTCGGACTCAGATTTGAGTTAAAGAGGAACGGAGCACTTATGGGTTACTACCTGTGTGCCATGATGTTGATCCGTTGTTCAAACTTTAAACTGATGATCCCCATGTTCAATAACTTGGCCCTTTAGTAAATGAAGCTGAAAAGCCCTGAACTATGACATAAATGATTGATTGGTGAATGACTGATCCAAGAATTGAAATCAGTGCACAACGGCACACTATCTTTCTGTAGTTTAAAAAGTTCTTGTCCTTCTGGTAAAATCTAGGCATACATGCTCCATCCCCTTCTTGTCTGTAGTCAGTGGAAAATTCTAGCACTAATATGTGTTCAGTTCATTTATTTGTGCTTTTGTTTGCTGCTGAAGTCTTTGTAGCTGCAACACCTATGATGTCATTTGTCAGTGCTGACTTATTAAGCTCACATTGTTTACTTGCCGTGACTCCTTTAATTAATGAATAATTTAAGTAATGAGCATACTTTGGATCTGTTCTCTAGGCTATGACAGTGTAGTGGGTAATAAACAGGCAGACTGATTAGCTGGGTCTGCACCACTGGGTGGTGAACTGACAAATGACAAGGCAGATGTGGTCAAGGTCCTTTGGGAACAAGAAACGGAATCAGTAGAGAAACAAGATTATCATGGCCTGGTGAGAATGGGGCAACTTGGTGTAACCAGAGGGTCTGGCTGACTCACTACACTCACAGGAAAGGCAAGACAGATATATAACCAGATTATGACTGGTATATTTAGTATTGGAACTCTGCGCTGGCTGCTGAAGATCAGGACAGAGCATGCATGGGAATGCTCCGAGTGCTGTGATGTCAATGCTTGACTCAGCTCAACCCTTACTGCATTCATGTTCCACAGGCACAAACTCAACTCTTTTTACAGTAGTGCTATTCAAATAAGTTTACTCAGCGGCCAACATTTTAAAAATGAGCACTATCGTGAGCCAGAGATGCCATAAAGCCAGATGACCAATATTATTTGAACAAAAAAGACACAAACAATAGATTGCACAATTCATTGTCTGGTATATTTAGCAGTATCTCATCAGGCGCATACTTGAGTAACAAACTGATTAAAATGAAGCAAACATATGAATCCTTCGGACTGAAAGACACAATCACCTACACACACAAACCGTCCATTTCAACAGGGTAAATGCAAGGTGAAGAAACATGTCCTTTTCTCTGCATAATTCTGGACTACACCGGTTAGCACAACCTACTGTTTGTGTCTTCTTTGTCAAAATTCACAATGGGAAAACATTACCATACAACTGTCAATGACCTGCAGGCCACATGCTAGTCCTTTGTGGGCCGGTTTTGTCCCATGGGCTCCCAGTTTAACAGCCATGTTCTCAAGTTCCATTATCCACAAAGTTTCACTTCCAGCTTGATAGAAACATTCCCTGAACGTGATATATCATCAATTGCAGGTGCAGAAACCTCAAGCACAGGGCTATTTTACCTAAGTTTAATGCCCGGCTCTCTAGCGTAGTTGGCTAAACCGGATTGTGCGGAGACCGGGTGACGAACTCCTTGTGGTCCGGGTTCAATCCCGGGGGTAGGCAGGAAAGCCACATTTTCTCCCAGATTTACGGTATTTACAATGGAATCAAGGCCGAAAGGTTGCGATATCCATAATACCGAGCCTAAGGGTTAACAACTCATGGCTTCTGGATACTAAAACAAACAAAAAAACGTAAGTTTACTCAGCGGCTAAAATGTCGCAAAATGTTGATCATCATGGGTCCCAGAACAGAAAGATTCATTAAATATCTGGTAATGATCTGCTGGCCACTTTCTAGACCTTGGTGGGCCTAATTTGACCCACAGGCCACCAGTTAAATAGCTTTGCACTAGTGGCTGCCTTACACGTTTACTGCAAGTGCAAGCTTCTGTATATTTCCAGGACTGTTTGTTTAGTAGTTTTCAAACGGCACCGTGATGGGCATTGTTTGCATTTGTGATTTTTCACTGGCACAGAAGAGGCGCAATTTTGTGGTGTCCTTTGACCTGTTTGCAGTGAAGCTGAAACTTCAACAACCATCAGTTATACTGTATCATCGACAAACAATGTCGTCAACTTCTTCAATACCATCACTTACATAAAACATCATCAACTTCTCCAGCATCACTTACACATGTGATACCATCAACTTCTCCAGTATCTCATCCATACAAGCTGTCATTCATTTCTCTAATTTCATGACTTACACACATCACATGTCATTAATTTTTCCCAGCATCTTCTGCTAAACATGCTACATCATCAACTTTTACACTATTAGCATCTTCTGCACATTACATCAATCTTTCCTGTATAATCAGCCGTATCTAAAGCCTCCTCAATTTTTACAGTACAGCATCATTAATTACTGCATCGTCGTATCCACTACCACCATCCACACAGGCTACATCATCAACTTTTAGTTCCACTATCCACACATGCCACATTATCTTTTACAGTATCGTCGACTGTTTCAGTATCACCCCCAACACATGCTATATCAACTTTTACTCTACCAAGATTCACACATGATATATTATCAACTGTTTCAGTATCATCAACTTTTGAAGAATCACTAGCTACATCATCAACTTTTACAGTACCATCAACTTCTGAAGAATCACCGTCAACACAAGCTACATCAACAACTTGTGAAGAATCACCTTTCATACATGTTGCTGCATCAACTGTTATAGAATCATCCTGCACACAGGCGGGAAGGTCGGTAGCACTGATATCGTTGCGACTGAAAAGAATAACCAGCTCACAGTGTTTGGTTCCAGGAAACAGATCTACTGGCACAGCCTTGATCATCTTAAAAGGGGCACCTTTATGTCGGCCAGTTTCCGGTCTGAGAAGGCTGTCAGAAAATCAAAAACAGTTCTTTCAGAATGTAATACAAATATACATATATTTGAATATAAATCTAAGAAATTAATCCGGTGAATTGTAACTAAAAGGCTTAAAGAAATGGAGAAGCAGAAAAAAAGTGCACAACAAAAACTGCAGTTCTGTCCGGGGCCGTCCGCGACATGAAATTAATTGAACAACAAAAACAAAGGGTAGAGTACTCCAACCACCAAGGGGCTATAAACAAAACTATCACAAAAAAAGGTAATGTGGAGGTGTTTTGATAGGCAGCAGGTGTTCAACAGGTTGAAGAACACTGCCCTAAAACATAAGGCTTTTTTTAGGGGGCAGTGAGTTTATTCCAGTTTCATCCAAAATGAATGAATGGCTCAATAAACCAACCAATCAATTAATCAATCAACCAACCAACCAATCAATCAATCAACCAACCAATCAATCAAGAACTTACATCACTGGACTCAGGATATTCCCACACATGCTCCGTCCCCTTCTTCAGCAACCAGCAAAAAGTTGACATGCTAATTCTATGCTATTCCAACTGTGATGTTAATAAAGTTCTTAATCCAATTTGCCATCTCCGATGAACGTCCCCGAACGTTCCCCGAAATTTAAACTCAGATGCTTGTTTAATACAGTTATCATTCATTTAATATTCAAGTTGAATAAAATGTTAATGCACTTCATTTCTTCAAACCATGTATTCTTGCCCTATGTGCACTGACACTAAGAACAATTATAACTCCTGGACGTAAACCAGGCCAGACACTGTGTCCATACTTACTCTGCTAAGTTATCCAGGGCCCCATCTGGGTTACAGGACACATACACCAGCCGCTGGATGCCGGAACTTCTCCGCAGTGTCCTAATGACATCTTTATCTGGATATAAGAGAAGAAAAGCCAAGAATAATGGTAAACTCAAGGTTCTCCAAATAAGATCAAGAATAGCCGCCATGACAAATTTAACTCAAGGTTTTCCATATAAGACGAAGAAAAGCGGTCAGGACAAACTTAACTCAATTTTCTCCAAATCAGATTTAGAACAGCGGCCACAACAAACGTAACTCAAGGTTCTCTCAATCAGATAAAGAATCTCTTCTGTCTTTCTATCCCCCAATGGAGCATAGGCCCTCAACTAACTAACGCCAAGTCGTTCTATCCTTTGCCTTTACATGGAGCCTTCCCTATGTCCTCCCTATCTTTCAAACTTCATTCTCCAGCTCTATTCTCCATGTGTTTTTTGGCCTTTCTTTATTCCTATGCCCCTGTGGGTTCCAATGCAAAGACATTCTAGTTATGCTGTTCTCCTTCTTCTCAGTGTGTGTCCTATCCAACACCAGTCTTTTCCTCACCTCTTGGTTCACTGGAGCCTGTTTAGTTCTCTCCCAAAGTTCTACATTAGTTATTCTATCATACTATTTAATTCCCTCTATTCTGTGCAGTCACCAGTTAATGAATGTCTGTAATTTATTAGTACTTGCCTTAGTTGTCCATGTTTCCGCACCATACAAAAGTACTGATTTGACATTAGAATTTAAAAATATTAGTATTTCTTTTAATTTCTTTTGACCTCCACAAATTCCCTAGTGCTATGAAAGCTCCTCTTGCCTTTTGTATTCTTATTTTAATATCTCTATCAGTTCCTCCATCTTTATCTACATTACTGTCCAAATAGGTGTACGACTCCATGTCTTGGAGTGGGGTGCTATTAAGAGAAACCACACTAATATTTGCCTGATTTATTCTCATTATCTTTGTCTTTCCTTTATGGATTTTCAGACCAAGCTGCTGTGATCTTGCATCGAGTATATTTAATTTATCTTGCATCTGATTCCATGAATGGGTCAGAAGAGAAATATCATCAGCGAAGTCCAGATCCTCAAGCTGTTTTGTAGGGGTCCACTTCTTGGTGTTAGCAGTTAGTCTTCATAATCCAGTCAATAGCCAGTAAAAATAAGAGACGCGACAAAAGGCATCCCTGCCGCACACCTGTTTTTATTTCAAATGTCCTGTTTTTATTTCAAATGTCCTGTTTTTATTTCAAATGTATCTGTTAGCTTTCCCTCATGAAGAACTTGACATTTCATGTCTTTATATGTTGCCTTTACTAAGTTAATAATTTTCAGTGAAATTCCATAGTGAACCCATCAATTTCCAGAGAGATTCCGTATCAATGCTGTCAAATGCTTTTTCATAGTCTATAAATCTAATGTAAAGTGGTGAGTTCAGTTCAATGCTTTGCTCTATTTCAAGATCAAGAATAGGTCATGACAAACTTAACTTAAGGTTCTCTATATAAGATCAAGAATAGCGGTCATGAAAAACTCAAAGTTCTCCATATAAAATCAAGAATAGCGGTCATAACTAACTGTTCACTCACTCTCAAAGGACCCTCACAACATCTAGCTTGTCATGCATGAATTCACCACCAAGTGGTGCAGAACCAGCCAGTCTATCTGTCTGTTTATTTCCTAACACACCGGCATACTTGAAGAAAACATCCAAAGGACACCAACTATCCCGTACTACCAAGAGAAGAGACAGAGAGTGTTGGACATCCATTGCAGCCAACCTTCAAAGTAGAGACAGCAACTGACTGATTAAAGGGCAACTAACTAACCGACTTATTAAAGGGCAGCTAACTAGTTGACTGATTAAAGGGCCACTAACTAACTGACTTATTAAAGGGCAACTAACTAGCTGACTGATTGAAGGGCAACTAACTAACCGACTTATTAACTCTTTGAGTCCCAAGGAACACATCATACATTCATAGGTTACTGCCTTGAAGCCCAATGAACGCATGATGCGCCGATTTTATGTCTCTCTTGACTACCCCTTGGGCCTGTGATGCTAAACCCTCTGGGACACAAAGAGTTAAAGGGCAACTAACCAGCTGACTGATTAAAGGGCCACTAACCACAAAACATGACATATTCAGGATGAACCCCACTTACGTAAGCCAGGTCTCGGAGGATCGACTACCGCCACAATATCAGAAGAGTCCACTGAAGCCATGACTTTACTGATAATGTCTTCAACTTTGGCACAGTGAAATGTTGCATTGTCTATTTCTGAGGACAAAACAAACACATTATTGAATCAATAATATGTCAGTTACTATCTCCTTCTGCCCCAATCAAAATGTGATGTGATTCGCGTTTTCAGATGAATTCCAACCAACCTGCAGCGTGTTCTTGCACCTGTTAGATTTTTACTGATATCATAATACATAAATCTAGCACTGTTGGTGATCACTTCTGCTGTGTGGGGGTCTCCATGGCAAAGTGGTCAAGCCCTCCGCCTTGCAATCTAAAGGTCGTGGCTTTGATTCACAGCTGTGTCGTTGACTTCATGAGTGCAATTTTTATGCAGAACCCTGGTGACCATCGCCGGAGCTACAGAGTTCATGCACTGCAAAGTGTCGACCCACGACTTGTGGAAAATAGAGCACGATGCCAAGAAAATAGATCAGGGTACCAGTGGACTTCATTTCATTTCTGATTTTCTGATTACAGAAAGGAGAAGGGAGAGGAGGTGGTGTAGAAGGCTGAGATGGAAAGAGGGAGACAGAGCAGGTGAGAACAGTGAGAGAGAGAGAGAGAGAGAGAGAGAGAGAGAGAGAGAGAGAGAGAGAGAGAGAGAGAGAGAGAGAGAGAGAGAGAGAGAGTAAAGATTAGGGAAAGAAAGTAAGTACTAAGACAGGGAGAGAAAGAAAGGAGAAAGAAATAAGATAAGATATAGAGGGAAGAAGGTAGCAGGAAGCAGTGTCTTCCCTCCCCCCCTTTCCAGGTGTCATCACTGTGGGAGGAAAAGTCAGGGGAGGGGGATGTATTGGCAAATGTGTTTTACCAAATACACAATTAATAAAATTATAAAATAGTTAATATGTGTGTGGGGGTGGATGGGGAGTGGTGGACAAGAAATGTTCTGCATTAGGCAACACATAACCTTCTACGCCAACTGAAGGTATGGAGAGATAGCGAGAGAGAGAGAGAGACCATGAAACAGAGAGAGAAGAAGTAAGGGAGAGCGGCAAATACAAAGAGAAAGAGAGAGGAAGGCAGTGGCAGACAGATAGAGAGTGAGGGTCAGGTAGGACAAAATATGAAGGGGCTAGTTCATTAACAAATATAACACATCAAAAGAGAAAACTGACACCCCCCTCCCCACACAACACAACTTCCCATATACTGGACAGTTACTAGGAAAAGAATCATGGAGCGGCACATTTAGTAAAAAATTTAAACAGGGAATAAAATTGGAAAAGGGGAAGGATGGGGGGGGGGGGGGGCGAAAATAAGCGATTAAAAGGAAAAATAGAAAGAAAAAAAGAAGATTAAGATCAGAGGAGAGGAAGAGAGAGAATGCAGGAGAGGAAAAGGAAGGGGCAAGAGTTAGAAGAGTTAAAGAGGGAAGTAGAGAATAAGAGAGAGAGGTGAGAGAACAGAAGAGGGAAGCTATGGACGAATTACAATGTTGATCATCAAATACACTGTAAAGATAAACTGCCAAAAATAGAACTGGAAAATCCAGTTGAATTCGCTTTGCTTAGTCCCACCATTTCCCAATGTACTACTTGTTTCTAGAAACCACAGCCTCCTGTAGCTATTTATACTTTTAATACTGCCGGTGAACCTGCCAGAAACAATGGCACACAGCATACAAGACGGCGGCTGCTCTTTCACGCCCCCTGCCATGCTGCTGTCGTCTGTGTGTATCCATGGGCTACAACACAGCCTGCCCTTCCCTAGCCCTTAACAAGCCATTTCAGCTGAAAATGGCCGACAATAAACTGCCCTCATACCTGAAATGACTGTAAAAATTTAAAACAAAGGTAGACAAAAATAGCCAAATTACCGAAAAAAGCCTAGCTGCCGAAAATGGCAGGTCATGTGATGATCTCATTGCGGCAGTCAAAATTCCAGGCTTTTCAAGGTCAGTAAGTCTTTTCACAGGCGAAAACTAAGGTTCAAGGTCAGGTCAGCAATTTCAAGGTTAAGTTCAAGTTTACCGGTCGGCTATGAATCCTAAATTTAGGTCCTGAATATTCATTAGGCCCATAATTGAGCCTTCCCTGATGATGGTTCTTAGATGTCTCTCTTGGTCTTCCCTATTTTCTTTTCCCTTTCGGTGTCCACATGAGGGCTTGATGGGAAGTCTTGTCTTATCCATTCTGAGTGCATGGCCAATGTAGTTCCAGTGGGGCTTTCTTAGAAAATTGGATCATAACACTACTTGCAGCTTAAATTTACAACTGTAAACTATTCTCATATGGCCCAAATTTAATTGCTTGCAGATCGTACTGATGGAGTGCAGCATTTAAAACGCTTGAATCCTATACTTGCATAAATACGGTAATAATAATAAGAACTCCAAAGGGAAGCATGTACAGCAGGAGTCCACCGTTCATCAGTAGAAGATCCCTCGTCGACAATTGTTTCGGCCCATTACCTCCTAGACAACTTCATAGGGTGGACCGACCTGGGTCATGACTCCCAGGCCTCGATCTTCTCCTGCTGCACTTTAAACGATGTTCTTGGACAGGGACAAGATTAACTGGTGACTATGCAACGGGTACTGTGAGATTCAAAGTTAAATATCTGTATTGTCACTGTGGTAGCCCATTAGATCAGCTGGCTACCTTAACTACCATGTGGCAAGCTTAGTAAATTAAGAAAATATGTCAAAGTGTCTTGAAGCTGCATGCAATGAAAGCAAAAAAGATTAAATTAAATATGAGAAGCTGATAACTCACCATTGATGGCTGCATTAACTTTAGCATCCTCCACAGCTTGTGGGCACATCTCGATGCCAATCACCTGCTTGACTTTCTGGAGACACACAAAAGAGAACATCAAAGACATCAGAAAGAGTGTTAGTGTCTACTTCTGTGTCTGACATCAGAAATACTAAACATTCAGTCCCATCTGGGTCACAAACAGGATCATGCATCTAAGGCCATCGCCAGTCCACAGCTTTTCTTGTAATGTGGCTCCATTGGGCCAGATCACCAATTACAAAATTAATGCCGTTCAAATGCCTGAAAAAAATTTCGTCTAGACGGAGTTAAAGACCTTTTGCCCACCTTCAGGCGTATTGAGCATTTAGGGCTGAATCTATATTTTACAGACCAACTGGCACTTGGTGGGTGATGTCATCATCACGCCGGCAGACGACAGTCATTTGTATCAATCAATAAAGAATAGAAGTCAGTGTGAACAATTTAAAGAAGATGCTTTGCAAAAATACTTATGGGTATGCCGGACGTGCAATGAAGCACACCTTGGATGCTTCAGTCGAGGTAACGAGATGTGCAGAGCAAGAATAGCCCATGCCAGTTCACTCAGCACATGTCAATGGTAATGAATATGAGGGAGTTACAAAGATGGCTACACACAGGCTGAGCTGCATGCAATAGTGTACGACAGAACGAACTGGCATGAACTGGGTAAGTGCCTATGCTCCGTTTGTGGACAGAAGGCAAAAGAAAATATCCGCAAATAGGAGAGAAAGATAACAATAAAAGGGGAGGAGAAGCGGAAATAAAACACATACAACTCACAAACCTTGGCCATAGACAGTCCAATAGTTCCTGTACCACAACAGATGTCTAACACAGTCGTGCTCGGGGAGACATTGCACCAATCAGAGATCAGCTGGTACAGTTTCTCTGTTGCTGGTGTATTTACTAAGAAAAGAAGTAGAAATGTTAAAGGCATTATTAATACATGGCTAATACAATCATTATTTCCGTAACTGTAACTGTCTTTGGCTTAGGTACTGTGAACATGGTTTGCAAGTGGTACCTGGGTATGTAATACATTCCAGGTCGTTGTACGTATACCAGACAGCATGAAAACCACATAAATTTTCCCAAAAGAGATTAAGGGAGAACGATTAATCCGTTATCATAAAAATCCTATTTTGATTGACATATTATATATATTCGAAGGGGCTGTATAAATCATTCACATACAGCCTAATACTAAAATACACAAATAACAAAAAGCAGGTAGATCAAATATATGAAAATTTAACGGCACTTTACTTTCATGAGAAAAGTCGACTGCCTACTAGGATGCTGCTGAGAATGGAGGGAGAGCAAATGTTATTGTTTACAAGTAGTCTTTTTCTGGTAAAACTTTAGAAATTCTGGTGTTTCTCTCTTCTTTTTTTTTCTTTTTTTTTTTTTTGCATGTCTCTTTTCCCTTCTCCGACTTGGTTGAGGTTCATCAGCATCGAATAAAAAAAAAAATCTGTCGAAAAGAACTTTGCTTCTGCTTTCTTCTTAGGATGTTTCATAAATGTGACATGGTGAAGCCGTGAAACGAGCCCACAACCTTCAGAACATGAGACAAGCGGCCTGACTACTGCGCCACGAAGATCCCCACACCCCTCCCCCAAGCCTTTGTCAGCACAATATTTGAATAGACACTGTTATAAATGGGAGCTCGAGCAAAGGCAGCATTTTACAAAATGTAGAATATTTTATGCTATCTTGCTCTGTCAGTTGAGAAGAGAAAGAGAATTCTTAAAAGCTAAACAAATTTTATCTTGTTATACCGAAGTGAAGTACAGACAGTTGGTAGATTAGTGAAAAATTATTTGGAAGCTGCAGAGATGTGGTTATATACATGGATGATGAGAATACCCTGGACAGATAAAAAGAGTAATGAGGATGTCTTGAAAGAAACTGACTCACCAAGAGAACTGATTGCCCACATCAGAAAGAGACAATCTACAATCTTTGGTCATGTGATTAGAAGTAGAAAACTGGAGTACATCATGACTGTAGGAAAGCTGGAGGGGAGGAGAGGCAGGCGGGGACCAAGAGAAAAGATGCTGGACAGTCTGACATCATGGCATGGAGGATCATCTGTGTCAGAGCTGACTGAAAGTACATGAGATAAAACGCTGTAAACAGACATGACTACCAACATGGACTATGGGAGATCATCTTTGTCAGAGTTGACTAAAAGTACAGGCGACAGACGTTTGTGGATAGACATAAATACCAACGCCACACGGCATGGACTATGGGAGACCATCTGTATCAGAGTTGATTGAAAGTACAGGCGACGGAAGTTTGTGGACAGACATGACTACCAACACTACACAGCATGGACTCTGAGAAGAAGTAGAAGACTGTTATTGGCATATTATACATTGATGGGGTTGTAGAAAATAATTTTAAAACTGCTTAATATATAAATATAAAAGCAATGAAATTAAATAAATGGCAATTTAATCTTGCTTTACATTGCTGAGAAGCGTAGAGTGCCTACTAGGATGGTGCTGAGAAGGGACCAGGAGGAGCTGCTATTGTTTGGGTTAGGAATCTGAAACTCTGATGTTTGTTCTCTTTAGTAGAAACACTGTTTCTGCAGCAAGGCGCTGTCATCATCTAAAGGTGACAGGTTCGATTCCTGGTGTGGTAACTATAGCTTTCTATCTTTCTACCTCTTTCTGTGAGTGCCGATCAGTACATATCTATTTGTTTAATGTATATAATGTACCCGGTCAAGACTTCTTTTATATGGGAGCCTATGTTCACGGGGTGGTAAAATGGAATGAATATTACATCTTCTGGAATGGATATTAAGTCTTCTGGAATGAATATTAAGTCTTCTGGGGGAAAAAAAGCATGCTCTTTCCTAAAAAATATGCATGCACCCACATACATACTCACTCAGAGAGGCAAGCAGTTAGGCTTTTGCATACAAACTCACACACACTCATGCACTCACACATCACTGACCGTTTATGGGCTCTCAATGAAACTCACCTTGAAAGAATGCCTCAGGAGATATCCGGAATCTGAGGTTCATCAACGACTCAAAAACGTGCTGAAAATATAGGCCGAAAATTATTAGCTAGAAAGGCATTTATCATCATCAAGTGCCTTGCTGACTGGCATGGGTGGTCACACTCCTGGATTATTTCTCAATATCCAAAATCATGAATCAGTTCGTCTGCTGTCATCTTTCAATGCCATTAGAAAAAAAAAAAGGCTGTCTACTATCTCCTGTCTGTGAGTACCTCTATCTCTATTTCCATAAAACTTTCCTGTTGTAACTGAATAAAAGGACATCATTTACTAAATGATGACTGCCTTTTCCTGATGTTTGAGATAGTTTGTTCTCATACCTTATGCCAGATCAGCATTACAAAGTCAAAACATGGGTCCTCAAAGGGGGTCTTCATGGTGAAGTGGTTAAGCAATTTGCCTCATGCTCTTAAGTCATGGGTTCATTTCACAGCAGTACCTTTAGGTTCATGATTGAAAGTGCTTTGCAGACCCCTGAGGATCGTCACTGGAGCTATGGAGTTCACGCCTTGTGCAAAGCTCTCTGCAGGTGGCTGGCCATTCTGCAGAGAGAGAGAGAGAATGAGAGACAGAGAGAGAGAATAAGAGAGAATGAGAGAGAGAGAGAGAGAAAGAGAGCCATATGGGATAAAAACTTGGAACAATGAAGCTGATCCTCTTGACATTCTTTTTTTTTATTAGTCGTCAAAACTACCAAGACAGTCTCTGGACAAAATATGAGAGAGTTTCAAAATGTTTTTGAATTTAAACATTCTAAAGATACAATAGAAACAAAAGAAAGATACACTGGAAACAACAGAAAGATACAATAGAAGCAAGAGAAATATACAATGGAAACAACAGAAAGATACACTGGAAACAACAGAAAGATACAATGGAAACAACAGAAAGATACAATGGAAACAACAGAAAGATACAATGGAAACAACAGAAAGATACAATGGAAACAACAGAAAGATACAATGGAAACAACAGAAAGATACAATGGAAACAACAGAAAGATACACTGGAAACAACAGAAAGATACAATGGAAACAACAGAAATATACAATGGAAACAACAGAAAGATACAATGGAAACAACAGAAAGATACAATGGAAACAACAGAAAGATACACTGGAAACAACAGAAAGATACAATGGAAACAACAGAAAGATACAATGGAAACAACAGAAAGATACAATGGAAACAAAAGAAAGATACAATGAAAACAACAGAAAGATACAATGGAAACAACAGAAAGATACACTGGAAACAACAGAAAGATACAATGGAAACAACAGAAAGATACACTGGAAACAACAGAAAGATACACTGGAAACAACAGAAAGATACAATGGAAACAACAGAAAGATACAATGGAAACAACAGAAAGATACAATAGAAGCAAGAGAAAGATACAATGGAAACAACAGAAAGATACAATAGAAGCAAGAGAAAGATACAATGGAAACAACAGAAAGATACAATGGAAACAACAGAAAGATACAATAGAAGCAAGAGAAATATACAATGGAAACAACAGAAAGATACAATAGAAGCAAGAGAAAGATACACTGGAAACAACAGAAAGATACAATGGAAACAACAGAAAGATACAATGGAAACAACAGAAAGATACAATGGAAACAACAGAAAGATACAATGGAAACAACAGAAAGATACACTGGAAACAACAGAAAGATACACTGGAAACAACAGAAAGTTACACTGGAAACAACAGAAAGATACACTGGAAACAACAGAAAGATACACTGGAAACAACAGAAAGATACACTGGAAACAACAGAAAGATACACTGGAAACAACAGAAAGATATACTGGAAACAACAGAAAGATACAATGGAAACAACAGAAAGATACAATGGAAACAACAGACTGAGTATATCAGTAGTTAGTTCACAGATTATCCTAACTGCAGATCAACCTAATTACTCCATAAGTGTCAGAGACTCCTACAACCCATCTACTTTCTGCTGCTTAGTGCTTCTAAATTCACACTGTACGCTCTCACTTTGTCAACATGGTACGTCTGGGGCAGTTTTAAAAAAAAGAAACACTTCTTCTTCTTCTTCTTCACTTCCTCTTTTACCGCTGTGGGTTTCGAGGGAGATATAAGGTTCTGTCTCTAGCTCTTCTGGCCGCCTCGACCATAGGCACATTATGCTGTTGTAGAGTTTCTCTGATGTTATCCTTCCATCTTGTTCTTGGTCTACCTCATGCTCTACGTCCTTCTTCTCTTTCCATGTATGCTTTGTATGGTATGGTGTCACAAGGCATTCTCTCTAAGTGGGCAAACCATTTCACCTGCTGTCTTCGTATGTAATTTAGAATTGGTTCTGTGCCGACTTTTTCTCTTATGATATCATTCCTGATCTTATCTCTTATGGTCACTCCTACGGCCCTTCTCAGACATCTCATCTCCATGGTTACTAATTTTCAACAACAACAACAACAAAACACTGACACACATAATTCTACATTCAGTAAACACACAAAGCTTAAGATCTTCAACTCTTGTGCGATTCCAGTAGTAACGTACGTGTTTGATAGTTGGGTAGCAATGGTAGCGATAGATTTTAAAAAATTAGACAATTTTGAGAACAGATGTCTTATAAGAATACTCAATCTTCACTGGACAGACTTCAGATCCAATGCACAAATAAGACAAGATACCAATGAAGATAATGTAACAAACTTTATAAGAAAGCGACGCTGGAACTACATCAGCCAAGCACTCAGAATGGATAAGACCAGACTTCTCCCATCATGCCCTATTATAGACACTGTACGGGAAAATCAAATGGATAAGACCAGACTTCTCCCATCATGCCCTATTATAGACACTGTACAGGAAAATCAAATGGATAAGACCAGACTTCTCCCATCATGCACTATTATAGACACTGTACAGGAAAATCAAATGGATAAGACCAGACTTCTCCCATCATGCCCTATTATAGACACTGTACAGGAAAATCAAATGGATAAGACCAGACTTCTCCCATCATGCCCTATTATAGACACTGTACAGGAAAATCAAATGGATAAGACCAGACTTCTCCCATCATGCCCTATTATAGACACTGTACGGGAAAATCAAATGGATAAGACCAGACTTCTCCCATCATGCCCTATTATAGACACTGTACAGGAAAATCAAATGGATAAGACCAGACTTCCCCATCATGCACTATTATAGACACTGTACAGGAAAATCAAATGGGGAAGACCAAGAGAGACCCTGAGTAGAACCATCAGGGAAGGCTCAACCATGGGCCTAATGAACATCCAAGAGCTAAAACAGGTGGCAACGAATTGCCAGACATGGAGAGCTATGACCTCTGCCCTATGCGCCACCCCAGGCTCAAGAGGAAAGACTGACTATAGGGCTTAGTAAGTGGGAAGATAAGATGAGGCAGACGAAGAAAAACCTGGCTGGAAAACTCGACTGCCTGGACAAGCCTTAGGCATGCAACCATAAAGTCCAGCACATCTGACTGCAAAAGGTAGAGGCGGCCGATCAGACAGTCAATAGCAACTGGTAACCCAACGACACGCAGTGTATGGGACAATGATAATGATGCTCTCACTGCTGGCACTGTAAAATTCATTCTCATTAGGCAAATTTCACATGCATTTTCGAGATTCTACAATAAAGATGATAAGCCCTGAAAGAATAAGAATAAAACTTACAGATTCTCCAAACAACAACTCAGAGCTGGATTTCACAGTTTGGCCCCTGCAAATTAAAAAAAAAATGAAACCACATCAATACAAACAACTGTATTATAATGAAACTAAGCAGAATAGTCAAAACCAATGATTATGTCACTACACTTCAGAATTCCAAAGTATGTTACGAGGGGAAGTCATTAAAGAAGTCACAAATAGTTATGGGATGGCAGGAAAATGTAGCTGGTAGTTTCTGAAGGTGTTATGAGGTTACAGCAACATCAAACTGTATGTCTCTGTTTGTTAGGTGGCGCTAGGTGTGCATGCACATTCGCAACACAGAAACACAACAGTGACTGTACTTAGGGAGCGTACCCTCCGAGGAAACATGTGCTGTTGTGAGTTTTGTTTTTGGTCAAAAGGGCTGCCTGCCAAGGACATTCATAAGGAAATTCTTTCTGTTAATGCTGAAAAATGTTTATCCCGTAAAGCATCACTACCAGCCAAATCAAAGCGTGCTTCAATGAAATAGAAACATCCTTCTTTGCCTTGTGTTCAAAACTTTAAGGTTACGCCATCAGCAGAAAAGGTTATGCTGACAGTGTTCTTTGATTGTCAAGGAGTGTTTTAAACCAATTTTTAAAAAAAAAGAGGTGTCAATGTGAATGAGGATTCACACTGTAAAGTTCTATCGATGCTTCATGATGCAATTTGAAGAAAACATCCAGGCCTGTTGCTAGATAAATACTGCTCCTACATGTTAATGGCAGACCACATATGGCTCGGTTAACTCAGGATAAAATTAACCATATAGGGTTGGAACATCCACCCTACAGCCCTGACTTAGCCACTAGAGATTCCCACCTTTTCGGTCCACTGAAAACCCACCTTGGCGGGAGACATTTCTCAAATGACGTAGAAGTTGAATGTGAAGTGAAAATGTGGTTTAGAAAACAGAGCACGCAGTTCTATGCAGCAGGTTTGACAGGACTGACAAAACAATGGGACAAGTGCATCAATGTTGGTGGAAATTGTGTTGAAAAATAAAGGGACAGAGTATGTAAAAATAAATGGTTTCAAGTTGTTATCGTCGCTACTTTTTTTTTTTTTTTGTAAACAACCATTTGTGACTAACTAACTTTTCCCCTGTATTATACTTTTAACTTACGATTTTTAACAGGACAAGTTGGGGGAAAAAACTCTAAAGGATAAGAAAACTTACAAGAAAAGAACGTAGAATGTGCTAGCTTTACACGAATATATTCATACAAATGATAGCGAATACTGCAGTGACTTGAGATACTTGGGTTTCAATCTGAAGGAGTCATTTATTTGCTTCATTTTAACCAGCAGTAACTGTACTATGAACCTGACAAGAAACAACCAAATCTGCCAGGCAATAAATTGTGCAAAATATTGTCTGTGTATTCTTTATATTATTGACAATGAGACAACAATAAAGTGACTTGACAAAATGTGAAACTCACTTGTCACCCATAACTCTGAAATAGAATGATGTGATCTTGACATTCTTGCCTTCCCCTGTGGTGTAGAACTCTTTGAGAGCAGCCTTGACACCGTCAATCTCCGACTGTATACAAACAAATGACCCACAGTCAACACAAATTATCAATGGAGTGTAGACAACATGGGAGCAGCCATGGGAAAGTAGGCTGAAGCTGTGGGGTAAGGGTCTGGGTTAGGCTCAGCTCTAGATGTAGGGTCGTTAAAAGTGGTCAGATCGTGTAACCTAGAACACTGAATATTGCTGGCAATAGCACAGAATACAGAATGTGAAGGGACATATGCTGAAGTTGGGGGGCAGGTGGGGGGGGGGGGGGGGGGGGTTAAGACCAGTTTTAGGTGTTCTCTTAAAGCGGTCACATTGTTTAGTATAGAACATGCGACAACGCTAAGTATCACCTCTGTAACATAGACCAGCACGTGTGAAAGGTCAAGAAGCACGAATGAAAGGCCAACCACAGTTTGGGGCAAAAAACATAAGAAGAGTGAGGTTAGTGTTATGTCGGTGTTTATTTCACACCCTAGCACCCCTATACTATTGGACTTTCCCCAGGAACTCCACATAAAATCTCAAAGCCCCCAAGATAGGGGGAATTAAAAATGACATCTTGGGTAGGAAAGCTCACGAGGCAGGATACAGATCCAAGGCAGACCACGATGAGAGCAAGGTTCTGCAAAGGATCTGCTACATGGTAATGATGGGTACACCTGACAAATTTCTCGAAACTGTCAAGACTAGGAAAAGTGACAATCAAATGAAATGGTCACTACACTCATAAATCATGGCCTAAAATATGTGACAGCCTAACTTAAACTTCTTAAACTAAACAAGTGACCACACTGTATGGCTCGGAAACATAGAGAAAAACAAGGGCAAATACTAATAGACTATAAATATTCATTAACTGGTGCCTGTGCAGATTAGAGAGAATTAAATAGTATGATAGAATCACACATGTTGAGCTTTGGAAGAGAACTAAAAGGTTAAGAAAAGTAATGGTGTTTGATGGGACACAAGTTGAGAAAACCTGAGATCAATGAAACTAGAATGCATTTGCACTGGAGCCCACAGGGATACAGAAATAAAGGAAGACCAAAAACACATGGAGAAGGAAGCTGGAGAGTGAAGTTAAAAAGATGGGGGAGGCCAGGAGAGCTGCATGTGATAATGAAGGATAGAACAACTTGGCCAGAACTGTTTGATGGCCTATGCTCCAGTGGTGGTTAGAAGGCAGAAGAACTTCAATTTCACTACTTATTAAGGACTTAGCATCAGAGGCCCAAGGGATGTTAAATCAGCGCATCTTCCATTCATTGAGACTATATGCGGAAACCTATGAACGTATGATGCGTTCTTTGGGACTCAACGAATTAAGGGACTATCCTTTACACTACATTCAAAAAGTAACACGACATGAACAGAATCTTTTTACAGCTTACCTGCTCTAGTTTCCGAGGCACAAAGTTGATCAGAGCCATCACATCACCTGTCAGAAATGTTCTCACTGTTAACGTCTGCCAGTGTCCCGCGCCCGTCTCCTGACGATAAGGCAACCACTCTGATTTGGCTACAAACTCTTGAAAACTCTGAAACCACAAAAACAAATAAGTTCCAGCTGGTGGTTAATTGCACTACTCATACAAACTGTGTACTATCAATATTAGACATGGGCAAGGCTATAAATACATAAATACATGTGAGATGAGATGTATAAGAAATCTGGCAGGAAAATAAGAGACAGGGGTGGCCAATGAAGAACTAGACACAGTACTTGTATATGATTTCATAGAACAAAGAATCAAAATGGTACTGCTGCTTGGGGCACAGCAGCTAAATCAAATTTTCTGAAAGTCTCAAAGATCCAAAACCATGTTCTCTGCATTATGACAGGGGCCATGTGCACAACATCCATTTCAGACATGGAAACAATTACTGGTCCCCATGCTCTGGAAGACAGGAGAGACACAAAGCTCCTCATTCAGCTCTTCAAACACAACCATTTGAAAGAACTACCCATCCAGAGCCTACTGCAGAAACCCCGGAGGGGCGGACCTCAAACTCCTTCCATAGTTCCACTGAAACCTTACAACCACTACCCCCTTGGCTTAGGGTAACCTACCAACAGTCAGAACAACTGTAATCGGGATCTTCTCCAAATCATCAATGAGCAGCTCTGATATGAAGTCAGTTACAGAAGGAGAGATCAATAGACTTTATCCACACCAGAGTTGGATTAAAGTATATACAGATGGTTTAGCCAAGAAAGCAGTAAGAGAAGGAGGAGGAAGAATACACATAGAATGCCCAAATGATTTAAAAATCAACCAAGCTATACCAATAGGTTCATATTTCTCCATTTGCACACAGAATGGAACAGATGGCAGTGACCAGTGGATCTGGTCAACACTCAAAGCTCAAGAAGACAGGCAAGATGGATATATAATCAAACTGCACCATCAAAACTGGAACTCTTCACTGGCTGCTAAAGATGAGGACGGAGTACTTATGGAAACATCCTGAGTGCTGTGATGCCAGTTCTTAGATCAATAAGTCAACAACACAACACTTATCACCAAACATTCACTCACCTGGACAACAATATAACTCAGCAACAAACACTCACTCACCTGGACAACAAAATAACTCAGCAACAAACACCCATTCACCTGGACAACAATATAACTCAGCAACAAACACTCACTCACCTGGACAACAATATAACTCAGCAACAAACACTCACTCACCTGGACAACAAAATAACTCAGCAACAAACATTCACTCACCTGGACAACAAAATAACTCAGCAACAAACATTCACTCACCTGGACAACAAAATAACTCAGCAACAAACATTCACTCACCTGGACAACAAAATAACTCTGCAACAAACATTCACTCACCTGGACAACAAAATAACCAGCAACAAACATTCACTCACCTGGACAACAAAATAACTCTGCAACAAACATTCACTCACCTGGACAACAAAATAACTCTGCAACAAACATTCACTCACCTGGACAACAAAATAACCAGCAACAAACATTCACTCACCTGGACAACAAAATAACTCTGCAACAAACATTCACTCACCTGGACAACAAAATAACTCTGCAACAAACATTCACTCACCTGGACAACAAAACAACTCAGTAACAAACATTCACTCACCTGGACAACAGGTATAGCTGCAGGCATGGCAATTCCTAAATTTGTACTCTCTCCCACGGCCGTGGTGCCTTCTTTGTAAAGGCCATAGCGGAATCCAACAATGACTAGTGACAGACAAATTACAGTTGTCACTATTATTATATCAACATTTCAACTGCAGACTGGAATGGGGCCTCTTGACAATAGCTACTTTATGTGTGGGCTTCACTGCCCAAATTTTAAGAACAAGAATAGATCCACTGACCCCCCCCCCCCCCCCCCCCCCCCCAAACTCCCATTTTCCCCAAACAAAGGTGACTCAACAGAGGTTTGCTGAAAAGTTATGTTTTGGGCCAAAAGGTCAAGATACTGCAGCCTAGCTGTAAACCACACAACATGCCAGCTGTCCTTTTAAGGGTAAACACAAGAAAAAGAAGAGGGGTTGATAAAGAGGATAATGGAGGAGGAGGAGAATGAAGAAGAAGGAGGAGGATGAAGAAGAAGAGGAAAATGAAGAAGGGGGATGAAGAAGAGGAGGATGAGAATAAGATGATAATGATGATGGAGGAGGATGAAGAAGAAGAGGATGATGAAGAACCAGAAGAACAGGATGAATAAGAGAAGGAGGAGAGGATGACAAAGAACAAGAAGAAAAGGATAAAGAAAAAGAAGAAGATGAGGAGAAGAAAATGAAGCAGAAGATCTACAACCTGTGGAGGTAATAATACAAACCTAGATAACAATTTCTAAAAAGAATATGTCTTTGTGCTGTACAGAACAACAAAATCACATTGCAGCACATATCTGGCATATCACAGGTTGGAGAGTTGTCAGATAAATGGAATGTGTTTGAAATATTTATTTATTTATCTTGGGCTAAAGGAAATAGGTAAAAGGTAAAGGTACAGTAGGGAGATTTGAACGAGCATCATTGCACACGGTTATAAACCGTAAGTGCTCTGCCACCAGTACGTACAGCTGATAAGAAACTGTCCGCCTGTGTTGTCATCCGCAGGCAACTCCGTAGCTACAGCGACGTTCTTCCATTTACCCCAGTGTGTTAGCTCTAGTACCCATTACCTAGAGGCTGACTGAACCCCAGGAACTGCCAGGTTTCAAACACCGGTCGTGGGCTGCAGCAAGTCCCAGCTTGATGTGAAAGCGAGTCTTCTATAGACTGTGCTAATGCAGCCCACTAACACCCCGAAAGGAACTAGAGACTGTCTTATACCCAGAAAAGTGTGGTAACTGTTAAAATGAGTACTGATAATTAACTTGGGTTCTAGCCACCTTTATGTGAGTTCTAGTGGCCCATTTGGGACTTGCGAGGAAAGGAAAGGAAAAAAAGGTGGGGGGGGGGGCAGAAAGGAAAAAACCTGCACTGTAATAAGCATGTAATAAAAGGCAACCTATCTTCGTCTTCTGTGACTTTTTAGGGAGCGGCTGAAATTGGATGAGTTTTGACAAAAGATGCAGATATTTCAGCCCAACTGTAAACCACAATACAATGATCCAACCGCCATTTTCAGGGCAGATCTAAAAGACGGATTCTGGCTAGTGTGCTCACCTTTGCCATCAAGACTGTATCCGACTGTGAACTCATTCTTGTTTCTGTACTCTGCTGTCACCGGCTGCAGACAAACAAAAAACCAAATCATTTTATGTGGTCAATGTGAGAAAAACGGCATCATAAACACCTCCTAAACACTGAACATGTGAACTCCATGTGTGGGCTGCATTGTCCACTCTGTGTACAATTATATTATCCACACTGACAGGTTAGAGTGTCCACTCTGTATATGGGTAAGTATGCACTCAGTATATGAGCAGAGTATCCACTGAGTGTACAAGTAGATTATCCACTCTAAAAGGTAGAGTGTCCACCCTGTTTATACATAGAGCATGCACTCAGTGTACAAGTACATTATCCACTCTGACAGGTAATGTTTATGTTTATTTGACGGACCAACATCATGACAAATGGGTGTAACACATAAGTGCTCCATTCTACTTCTACCTCAAGTTAGAGTCTGAATAATCTCAGCACAGTCCCCGAACTCTGATGCACAAGCGAGGATACTGAAATACTTTTTGGTAGACTTTTAACTTCAAATTTTGCCCAGGCAGGGCCTATGGGCTACTCTTTTCGATTTCCAACTGCCAAGGGATTTTTTTTACTTGCGCAACTATACACTAGGGCGTCTGAACTTGCTAGCCAGAGACCAGGGGAAATTACTAAAGTCCTTGTGAAAAAAAATACCAGCCTTCACCGGGGCTTGTACATTCAAGGCGGACACCATACTTTGAGACCACTTAGCACCCTGACAGGTAGAGTGTCTACTCTGTCTATGCATAAATTATGCACTCACTGTGCAAGTAGATTATTTACTCTGAGAGTTAGAGTGTCCACTCAGTGTACAAGTAGAGTGTCCACTCTGTATAAGGGTAGAGTATCCACTCAGTGTACAAGTAGATTATTCTGTAGATACAAAGGTGCACTTAGTGCACAAGTAAAAATCAGTAAACATATACAGCATACATTCAGTCCATTAGTACAGTACCAAAACGCACCTTTCACAGAGACAGTGTATTTTATGTAGAGTGAGGGGGAAAAAAAGAGAGAGAGACGATCATCTGGGTAAAGATCTAACATCGCAGCATTCAGGAAATTAGCCCAGTCTCCCTACCTAACAGCCAGCGGAGTCTCAATATTGAAGATTCCTGTTAGCATCTGGTTAACTACTCATTATCCCCTCCTAGCCCCCAATCTTCTCCGGTCTCCAGTAATGCCCAGAGCCCTGATACACTCACCACTGCATCGTTTTCTCCAGGTATGGTTTTTCACTATCTTCTATCTTACTTGTTACATCATCCCACAGGCCAAAGATCACCTCTGCCTTAGGGAGTTGCAGCGCATCCCCAAATAGGGTCAGTGCCGCCAAAATATCTGCCTGTTTGTTCCCAAACACACCCGCATAGCCTGGGCTAAATATCCATGTAACTTACTGCCTGTGATCTCTGGATTCTTCTTCTTCCTTCTATCCAACAGTGGGGATAGGCCCTAAACCAAATCGCTGTGGCAGATAGTACCAGGGCTTTCTTGTTAGGTGTCCAAACCATTTCATTTGTTGTTCCTTGATGACCTGAGACTTCGTGATTTCATGATTGTTTTGGCTATTAAGACCAGAGAGGATAAAGTTACTGTGATCGCCATTTTAACATTCACCACTTAGCATGATAAGATTTTTTTTGTTTTTTTTTTGTTAGTCATAACTAAAACAAAGAAATGATCAACTTACTGATGGCACAATGGGAAGAAGCGGGCATGGAAGTCCTTCACTGGCAAATCTGGAAAAAATTATATAAAGGTATCAGTTACTTATCTTATGATTACAATTTAAGTAATAATTATATTAATCAATCAGGCGCTACATCCACAATGAAGGTTGGCTGCAGTAAATCTCAAGCATGCCTGCCTTGTCTCTCTTCTTGGTTGTACACTCTCACAGACTGCTGTATGTCTATCTCTTTATGTTGTCCTCCAACTTGTATCACTGACCACCTCTTGCCTTTGACTTTCCCTCCAGTATGGTTTTTTGAAAAAGTATTATGTCTTTTAATGTGGCCAAAATATTTTAACTGTCTCTTTTATTATTTCTTTCAGTAACTCTCTTCGTGGGCTCTCCATAACCTCATTATGTTAACTGCTTTTGTTTCCATACAATATGACCTATTCTTCTGTATATTCACATATCCAAAGATTCTCTAGATGCTTGTGTCCAAGCGATGCAAGTAAAGTTAAAGTGAAGTAAAAGTAAAGTTAAGATCCCTTTTCCCGCCTTTAGGCGCATCGGGCATATGGGAAGAGCACCCTACATTTTTACAGACCAATCGGCACTTGGTGGGTAATGTGGCCATTTCGTCGGCCATCTTTACTTCCCTAGGACATACATCCGGACAATCTTTTACTGTGTTTTGGGTTGTCCTGATTTATTTCATGTTCATGTTTTAGGTTGTCCCGATTTATTTTATGTTCATGTTTTAGGTTGTCCCAATTTATTTCATGTTCATGTTTTGGGTTGTCCCAATATATTTTATGTTCATTTTTTGGGTTGCCCCGATTTATTTCATGTTCATGTTTTGGGTTGTCCCGATTTATTTTATGTTCAAATTTTGGGTTGTCCCGATACATTTTATGTTCATGTTTTGGGTTGTCCCGATTTATTTTATGTTTATGTTTTGGGTTGTCCCGATTCATTTTATGTTTTGGGTTGTCCCAGTTTATTTTCTGTTCATGTTCTGGGTTAGTCTAGCTTATCATGTGACCGTGTTTTGGAGTGGGCTTATTTATTTTCTATTGTGTTTTGGTTTGTCACGATTTATTTTCAGATTAAGTAAGTAAATTTTACTCCACTAGGACATCACACAGAGCGATAAATACCCAGTAACACAAAGTGCCACCATGCGCGTCAGGATCATCTGTGGAGAGGTCCCAGAAACCGAGTTCAGACTTCAGGCTATATTGCGGCCCCTGGCAAAAGCCGGTGTGGGGCTTCAAAATAACAAAAAAATTGCGTCCCACATTTTTTCAATTTACCAACGATTATTTTCTGAGTCTGTTTTGCATTATTCTGATTAATTTTTCGTGCATGTTTTGAGTTTAAAAAGTTGAGTTTCTAAATTATTATAAGACTGTTTTGGGCTGGTCTGATTTATCTTTTTAATTGTGTTATGGTTTGTCGTGATTTATTTTCTGATCATATTTTGGGGGTGTTCTAACTTATTTTGTTTATTCTTTGAGCTAGTCTGATTTATCATGAGACTGTGTTCTGGGCTGGTCTGATTTATCTTCAAACTACAATCTGATTTGTCAAGATTTATTTTCTGATCATGTTTCATGTTTTTCACAAGCCAAGAGATCTGGCTGGACATGTGATTTGACACTATTGATGCTTCTAAAGAACTTCCAGCTCAATGGTAGAGTTAGAACCGAACATGACTCAAACTTACCTGTCTTTAAACAAATGCTTCACAAAGTGGTTTCTTGCCAGTTTGTCCATAACATCCTTTATCTTGTCTGTTTTAATCTGAAAAGCAAGTCATTTCCCAGAACTATTAAAAGACAGCTGTGCATGTCGCTCAGAGGGTATACAAAGACCATCTCTCACATTAGGAGAGATGGGTTCAAGTGTGTAGTGAAATTTAAGACAAACAGCTGCCATCTACCAGAGTCTCATTCTTCTTGTTCAAATTTGTCAGTAAACAAGCTAAGGAAAGTGCAAGTGAAGAACAACCTGAGGTACCTGTCTCTTATCAACAGAAGAAAAGAATAATCAATCAAAAATTGATTACCATATTATGGACAGGTCAAAGCAAGTTATTCTACGCCTTAGAACAAGGCACAAATGACTTCATAGCCACATGTAGACAAAATTTGAGATTGGCGAATCAGCCATGTGGACTGGCACCTGAGACAACAGATCACATTCTTCAAGACTGTCCCAAATACATTTCCAGGCAAAACTTCTGGCCAAGAAGAGAGACACTGATAGAAGCCAAACTTTCTGGGCCGCTAAATGAATTACAAAAGACAGTGAAGTTCATACTAGAGACAGCACTGCAGATATAAATAATTTATTTCAAGCGAACGAAAAAAAAGAACATCTGCCAGCTGTAAACTCTAGCAGAAAGTTCTGGTTGTTCACCCACTTCTAGATTTGAGCCAGAGTTTTCTGTGCCCTTCCATTTGACAGATCTGACTTATCTGTGTGCAAACTCCTGATGCACTCTGACCACCAAGAACATGACTCGATCTACACCGCCCAGGTTCCTGGTTGGGAACCGTTTTTAGAATGACCTGCAGAGAGGTGCTGAAACATCCTGACCAGTATTAATCTTTAGTGCTCATGCCCCATGACTTACAACACAATTTTTCCTCATTTTGAAGCCCTACCCTGTCTCTTGCCAGGAGCACTAAAATAACCACCCCCCCTCCCCCACCCCCATGGATTAAACAGGGTTTCTGGGACCTCTCCACGGGTGATCCTCATCTGCATGGTGGCACTTTGTGTCATCTGGTGTTTATCACTTGGTCTGATATCTTAGTGGGGTAAAACATCAATCAATCAATCAACCACAACATCCTACAGCCTTGCTGGCAGATTAGTAAGCATGCTCATTTACTAAGAGGGTAGTCAGGGTTCAATCCCCAGGAGAGGAAAGAGATATTTTGATGACCAATGGGGCTGTGAGGTTCATCAAAATGGTTACCCGGCAATGTTCCATGAAGAAAAACTAATCAAAAAGGAAGGAAACTTGACACTTCACCTTAAAATGAACTTGAAAATGTGAAAACTTGGCAAATCAAGGAATATAGGGTGTTTTTTTCCTCTATTTCTAATTTGGCTCCATGTTGAAGTTGTGTGTCTTCTGTAACTTCAGAACATGGCTTTGAAATGCAGTATCTCCTGGCAGGCATCAAGGAGTTGCTGCCTTCTCGTCTGCCAACACATTGTGATGTTATTTCGTGCCATAAAGTGCTTACTGACATAAAATTTCCCACTGGGTGGTGAACTGATGCATGGCAAGCTAGATATGTTCAAGGTAGTGACCAGTGAGATAAAATCAGGAATGAGGTCATTCATACGAGATAAAGTCGGCACAGAACCAGTTCTTAATTACATACAAAGACAGCAAATCAAATGGTTAGCCCACCTGAAGAGAATGCGTTCTAATGCTATACCATAGAAGGCTACCAAAAGAGGAGAAGGAAGTAGAGCAAGAGGTAGACCAAGAAGAAGATGGGAAGATAACATCAGAGAAACTTTACAGCACCATGATGTGTCAATGATAAAAGCAAGGAACAATGCTGAAGTACCAAGATGATCTGGAGTAGGGCCGTTCAGGGGCCAAATGTTGGAAAATGGGGATCATCACGGACCAGAGGCCTGAGCCTAGAAAGATCATTAATACAATACAGTTGGCAGTTATTCATGGGTCACTTGCTAGGCCTCTGCGGCCTAAATCTGACCCACGAGTCATTAGTTGAGTAGCCCTGGTCAAGAGGGAACTGTGCAGAGGGCAGTGACCAGGGGATCTAGCTGACATTCAACATTCAGAGGCAAGGCAAGAAGGTCACACAATCAGACTGCTACTGTTAGCATTAGAATTGGAACTGTCTGCTGACGATGAGGACAGAGCATCTTTGGAAACATTACAAGTGCTGTGAAGTAAGTTCTTAATTCCCCTCAATACAACAACTCTACATTGCTGTTTACTAACTTTCTGAAGCATCTGCTTTGGAAACTGCAGACACAATAAAGAGTTGCTAATTTATCAGATTAATGTTTAATGTCAAATACACGTCACTGTGTCACAAATTCACAAATAATGAAAAAGTAAAAGTATACCTGCAATAAATATACATTCAGTATACCCTCAGAGAGGCGGCTCGATTAAACGAATCAAGTAATGATTGTGAATCTGCAACACTGGCGAGACTACACAAACATAACAACAAAAGAGGTGAAGCCAGCAAGCGCTACAGAGGGACCCAAAGAAGAATAGTAAACCAACACAGAACTGGTGTCATAAGCAACTACACGCTGATGGAGATACTGAAGAGGGGATCTGAGCGCTTATGGACTGAATTGTTCGATGTGCAATGATGATAATCTGTCCACTAACTAACTAACTATACCTGTAACTGTTGCGTATAATCTGTATCCCACAATGGACTCACGCTTGCCCGAAGTCTGAGGAGGAAAATGTAATCACCATTTATCAACTTTGCAATGGTCCCAGTTATTTCTTCTCTCCAGCAAAACCACCACCTCAATTTCTTTGAACATCAAACTGTGTTATTGCCAGGCCAAATAATTGTAAAAATCATTTATCAACTCTGCAATTGTCCCAGTTATTTCTTTTCTCCAGCATAAGCCATTTCCACCACCTCAATTTCTTTGAACATCAAACTGTGTTATTGCCAGGCCAAATACTTGTAAAAGTTCCCATCCCTGTAGTGGTATTCTTCTTCTTCTTCACATTCACCAGCTGTGAACTCCGATGGAAAGTTCTCATTGTTCGTCCACCTCTAGACAACTTTAGTCTTTTTTTTTTCAGAAACAGTGTTGCGACACATCCGTTTTTACTAATCTAACTTTTTTGTATGCAGATTGTTGGTTCTTAGCCTCTCAGGCAGATGCACTCTGTCTTCGAAGAAAGCCTCAATAAGTGGACTCCAATGACATGCTTTGGGGGAGGCTGTAGGTCTATTCTTGTTTTCCCCACAATGGGGCCCTAGAATCCAGAGCTTGCAGTAATGGGATTCTAAACCCACAACTTCTGATCCCAATCCCATAAACTTGCTTGCCTTTAAACAAACAGCGTAAATCTTTTCTCACACTTCAGTTTCTTAACATTAGGTTTGCCTTTGTCATACTAAATCCCATCCTCCTCGACTAAACTCTTCATTGTCATAATAAATTCTTTAGCGCCAGACCTAATCAACTTACAAACAACTGAGATTTTCTTACATCAAACCTAACTTCTTCTTCGCGTTCACCAGCTGTAAACTCTGGCGGAAAGTTCTGGTTGTTCGTCCACTTTTTGACTGCAGTTCAGTTCCAAAACCTGTTGCGTGTGGATCCGTTTTACAGAACTGACTCATTTGTATGCAGACTGTTGGTTCCTTGCCTCTAAGGCAGATGCACTCCGACTTCGAAGGAAACTGCCAATTAGTCAACTCTTACAATTTGCTTTTGGGTAGGCAGTGGGTCTATTCCCTCCCCCCCCCCCCCTCCCATAATAGGGTCCCGGAACCAACTCAGGGATTCATCAAATCTAACAATGTTTCACCTTTTCTTCCGTATTATGTCTCCTAATGATAGAGCAATTGCTCTCAGACAACTCAGTACATGCCTTTTTCAGACGTATTCACAAATGGCTTATACAGTGGAACTACAATTTTCATCATAAATCATTCCTGAGGGAAGGATGAACATAAAACAAAAACTTTCCTATAGGAATTAACTAAAAATCTTTTTATATGCTCCAAGCCCTGATTTTGCTTATCTATTTTTTAACCATAAAAACAAAATTTTGCTTGAAAATCATCCTAATAACATAAATATACTGTAGGCCTGCATATATACATAATCAAAATTTTAAAAAGAAATTTACCTTCTGGAAGCCAAGATCAGAACAGCCAGGTAAGAGAGGCACACACCAGATGTACAATAAGTCTTGTTAACCAGCAAAGAACTAATAAATTATTGTGTGATGCTGATGTATGCACTAAAGAGGGAATCTGAGCATAAAAAGGTTTGTTGGTCCAGAGTGCCAATCTTACACCTCATTAAAAAGAATTTGCATAATGTACCTGGCTTCTGCTTCCTCTTTTGTCAGTGCCTTGCTGGAGTCTACAGGTGCCAGATCAGCACTATCCTTGCCAGTTTGGCTCTTCTGATTATCTGACAGAATTTTGAAAAAAGAAAACACATATCTGACATAAGGAAAACAGATTTAATGTTGAGTAAACAAAACTGGATAAAATCCAGTTCACCAAGAAGTCAGAAAACAGATACCAGAGTTGGAATGGGGGCACATTGAGAATCTCCTTCCACTGGAACTCAAGCAAATAGAAAAAATGCAGACTAAAATATGCACAAAAAAGAGAATTAGTTGAAAAAAAATGTGGGGAGAATGGAGTGAGCTGTGGGCAATGGCAGAGAATAACAACCACTTTGTGTTAGATGAACACTTTACAAGCAGCCGAAGAAGAATAGCAAACCAACACATCACTGGTGTCATCAATTGTTACACGCTCAGAAAGATAATGATGTTAGGATCTGAGCGCTTATGGACTTTCCCGAAATGAAGTGAGGATGACATGTTGATTAACTAACTTACTAACTACCTAACAACACCAGCCTAGCACTCACACACTGTCATACCCCACTATTCTTACCTGATATGCCATTTCGGCCAACACCCACACACTGTCATGTCCCACTATTCTTACCTGATATGCCATGTCGGCCAACACCCACACACTGTCATGACCCACTACCCTCACCTGATATGTCATTTCGGCCAACACTCACACACTGTCATGTCCCACTATTCTTACCTGATATGTCATGTCGGCAAACACCCACACACTGTCATGACCCACTACCCTCACCTGATATGTCATGTCGGCCAACACTCACACACTGTCATGACCCACTACCCTCACCTGAAATGTCATGTCGGCCAACACTCACACACTGTCATGTCCCACTATTCTTACCTGATATGTCATGTCGGCAAACACCCACATACTGTCATGTCCCACTACCCTCATCTGATACGTGGGCCAACACCCACACACTATCATGTCCCACTATTCTCGCCTGATATGTTGCCCAATACTCACACACTGTCATGACCCACTACCCTCACCTGATATGTCATGTCGGCCAACACTCACACACTGTCATGACCCACTACCCTCACCTGAAATGTCATGTCGGCCAATACTCACACACTGTCATGTCCCACAATCCTTACCTGATATGTCAGCCAACACTCACACACTGTCATGTCCCATGATTCTCACCTGATATGTCAGCCAACACTCACACACTGTTATGTCCCATGATTCTCACCTGATATGTCAGCCAACACTTACACACTGTCATGTCCCATGATTCTCACCTGATATGTCAGCCAACACTCACACACTGTCATGTCCCATGATTCTCACCTGATATGTCAGCCAACACTTACACACTGTCATGTCCCACTATTCTTACCTGATATGTCAGCCAACACTCACACACTGTCATGTCCCACTATCCTCACCTGATATGTCAGCCAACACTTACACACTGTCATGCCCCACTATTCTCACCTGATATGTCATGTCAGCCTACACTCACACACTGTTATGCCCTGCCCCACAATCCTCACCTGATATGTCATTTCTCTTCCGCAAATATGGATCAGCTACAGGAGCTGCAATCTGAAACACACATGGTCAGCTGAATAACCACACAAAATACCATATTTACACATGTAAGTGCTCAGTCCCCATTTTCAGCAGCAAGCAAATAGTTCCAATTCGGTTAGTACCAGAAACCGTCTGATTGTATATCAGTCTCATCCTTCCCTTGAGTGTTGAGCGTCGGCCAGATCCTTTGGTAACTCCTGCTAGCGCTATTCTCCTTAGACCGTAATGATGTAACTGTGCCTCTGCACTGTTCACTCGCTCCTAAAGGGCCCTCACAATATCTTACTTGTCATACATCAATTCACCACCAAGTGGTGCAGAGCCAGCCAGTCTATATGCCTGCTCATTTCCCAACACACCGAAATACCCTGGAGAAAATATCCAAAGGATACTAACTACCCTGTCTACACAAAACAGCTTTTATCTGTGCTATTAGGCCTACATGCCACTTGTACAAAATTTATTAATAAACTGGCATTTCCAGGTGCTCCCACGCTGTAGTTGTGTGTCTTCTTTAACTTCAGAACATGTCTGAAACAAAACAGTTTCTCATGGTAAGAGTTGGGAAGTCACAGCACCACTGTTGTTAGCCGCCAAAACATGATGTTATTGTGTTCCGTAAAGTGCCCTGCCCAGCCATAAATGGCATTAAATTCACCTGCACACACTGTTGAAAAATAAATTCACAACTGTAACCTGCTATTATGTGGCCTATCTTTCACTGTTTACAGGTATTACTGTTTTGGTAATGGTTTCTTCAAGGCAGATGTGATCAAGGCCTTTTACGAACAAGCAACGGAATCAGTAGAAAAACAAGAATATTAAGGTCCGGAGAGAATGAGGCACATGGGTGTAACGACAGGGTTTCTTGCACACATATTCATTGACGGCTGTCGAGAAAAAGTTTAATGTGTTCGGTAATTATACATCCATTTTTTTCCTGGGGTTATCTATGACCAACAATGACGAAAAGGACTTGCATCATAGCAACTGAAACATATCTAGAGGCAGGAAAATGAGTAGAACCATGTACTTCCCAAAACACAAGTGTGAGGACTTATTCAAGCTTCCATTAAAAAATTCACAAACATCTTTAAGGTTAGTCATGTTTTTTCCCAAGTTAAAAAAAAATAAATGCTTGCATAAATTATGCAAATCATATAACAGTTAATTTGAATATTTTCTTCTTATTCTTTTGTTCGCTTGAAATGGATTATAAAAATCTGCAATTTCGTCTTTAGTATGAACTTCACTGTCTTTTGTAATTCACTCAGTGACCTGTAAAGTTTGACTTGCACTGATGATTCTCTTGGCCAAAAGTTTTGCCTTCATATGTTGTATTTGCGACAGTCTTGGAGGACGTGATCAGTTATCTCAGGTGCCAATCCACATGTGCACATGTCTGATTTGTGGATTTTAAATTTTGTGTACATGTGGCAGCGAAGTTGATTGTGTCCTGTTCTAAGGCGTAGAATTTGAATAAATGTAGAGATTTTAATTTGATTCATAAATAGACTGTTAGTTCATTCAATTTCCTACAGGAATGTACAGTTTTCGATATGTTAATGCTTTATTTTTTTTTTTTATTTTCGTGTATAAACTGTGAGAATTCCCTCCTAACTAGCCTCATCTTTTTGGAACCAAAACTCCAAAAAAGCTCTGTCTCCAGATGGTTAATTAGTTTCCAACTGATACAATTAGCATATTGACTCTTTGTTGGCTATTTAGGAAGGAGATGGGGCATGTGCGGAAACGTCCCAAGTGCAGGGATGGCAAGTCTTGATTCACTCACTCATTCACATACCTCTCATTCATTCACACACTTGACTGACAAGTTTAGAGCTAAAAGGATAGACAGACACAGGTGTACAGTTGAACTGACAAAGCTACATGTCAGCAGCCAGATCGAAAGATAGATAGGTACTTCTTCTTCTTCTTTCGTTCGCCGGAAATAAGTTATCTATATCAGCAGTTTTGTCTCTTGTATAAATTTCACTGTCGTTGTTAGTTCATTCAGTGGTCCATAGAGTTTACGTTCCACTGTTGTTCTTTCTGGCCAAAAGGTTTGCCTAAATGTGTCAAAATCGGTGCAGTCCTGGAGTACATGCTCTGCGGTCTGGGGCACATTTCCACAGGTGCACATGGCTGATACACCTATCTTGAATTTTGTGTACATGTGGTTACGTAATCGGTTGTGCCCTGTTCTGAGGCGGAAGATAATGACTTGTTCTGGTCTGTCCATAATAAAATAGTCGTCTTGTGCTGGGGCTGGTGGTTTCCTGATCGATTTAATGATTCTTTTCTTTTGGTGGTATGTGACTGGTACATCTGGCTGCTCTTTTTTCGCACCTTCCCCTGCCAGTTGATCCGCTTTCTCATTTCCAGGCACTCCACAATGAGACGGTATCCACTGCATTACGACTCTTCGCTGAACGCTGAGTTGTGTCAGCAGTGTTTGCAATTCTGGTAGTTTCCTAGACTGGAGTGCTTCAAGTACTGATTTAGCATCTGTAAGCATTACCACATACTGTGAGCCAAGGTTGGTATTTAGCAGTTTCTCTGTAGCTATCTTAATAGCCTGGGTTTCTGCATCGTAGTTATGGCAATACTTCCCGGTTGGTACGCTGGACTTATCCCTAGTACCATCTGGGAATTCGATGTACACTCCAGCACCACCATTTCTAACTGCACTTTCTGCGGACCCATCTGTATAGACTCTGACCCATTGTTCTTGTGGGTATTCTTCATCAATATAACTGAGGGTGGCCATTTTGCGTTGTACACTATCTTGCTCTTTCTTGTCAAATATCCCTTTCACATTTGTCTGGATTTGTACCGTTAGTTTACATTTTTCTCTCCATGGGGTTTGTTCCGGAATACTTTTAAGTGGGCAGCCAATTTCTGGAAGGTCAGGAGTTTGTCTACATATTCTTTTTGCTTGGTGTATAAAGCTGCTTCTTTTTAACCGTCCCAAGGCTAGGTTCTTAAATCTATTTTCCATCGGGTGATCTGGCATACTGAGGAACTTTTCAGCTTGTATTTGCAACTTTGTATCTCTGCGTTCTCTCAGTGCCTGTGTTTTCCCAGCTTTCTCCATTTCTAATATGGGGGTTGATTTCATCCCTCCTGTGATGACTCTGAGCGCTTGATTTTGCACTTTGTCTAACTCCTTTAATGTGGTACTAGATGCTGAACACCATGCAGTTGAGCCATATTCCAAGTGTGGTTGTATGCTCTGCTTGTATACTTTATTGAGTATTTTCCCATCTGCTCCCCATGTGGTTCCACTTAGTTTTCTTAGTATTGCTGTCTTCCTCCTGGCTTTGGTTGCTGCCATGTTGATATGTTTTCTCCATGTCAACCTGTCATCAAATGTGACTCCTAGGTATGTGGGCTCTTTATCATCTCTCAGAGGTATTTCGTTTATTTTGATGGTGCCGGCTTTTTGCTTTGGGGAGAGGGTGAATAGTGTGGTGCTACATTTGTCTGTGTTGATACTGACACACCATCTATTGGCCCATGCCTCAAGTGCATTTGTAGCCCGCTGTAGTGTTTTTGTGGCTATCGTTGCATGTTCATTGGTGCACCACAGTACCAGGTCATCGGCATACATTGCCATTTTGATTCCATTTGGTATCTCAGCAACCAGATCGTTGATAAATAAAAGGAATAGTGTGGGCGACAGGACACCACCTTGAGGGACGCCTTGTCGCAGTAGAACTTTTTTACTTTTGAAACCATCTACCTGTACCCGGGCTCTTCTGTTATGTAGATATGCTTTAATCCAATTGTACATTTTTCCATTTATTTTATAGTTTCTCAATTTCTTCAAAAGCCCCTCCTTCCAAACCTTATCAAAAGCTTTCCTTAAATCTATTCATGCCGCGAGTACCAGTTTCTTATCTTGAAAAGCATCCTCTATTTCTTGGGAGAGGTATGTTGTCTGGTCTTCCGTAGAATAGAACTTTCTAAAGCCCGCCTGCTGTGGTGTAATTATGTTTTCACTTTCAATGTACCACTGTAGTCTGAGGTTGGTGATGCGCTCCATTGTTTTACAGAGACAACTTGTGAGGCTGATTGGTCTGTAGTTGGAGGCATTAGAACTGTCTTTCCCAGGCTTTATGAGAGGTATCATAATTGCCTCTCTCCAGATTTGTGGAACATTCCCTGTTGCCCAGCAAGCATTAAATATCTGTAAAAGCTTTGTTTTGGTTACTTTTCCTAAGTTTCTGATCATTTCGTTTGATATACCATCTGCTCCTGGTGACTTCCGCATTTTCAGCTTTGAAATGGCCAACTCCAGTTCATTAAGTGTAATTGGCACCTCTAGCGCCTCTGATGTTATTTCTTTCTGACTTCTAAATTGTGTCTTTTCTTGAATTTCGTGTTTTTTCTCTGAACTGATTTCAATGTCGTTATCTAAAGCAAAAGTGTCCGCAAATAGGTTGGCTGCCTCTTTTCCTGTGACCATGTTTCCATCTTTCTGCAGCGTGATCTTTGAGTTCCACCCTGTGTCCTCATCATTAATTTGTTTCACAAGTTTCCATAACTTTCTTGTGTCTTTTTCAAAGTTCAGCGACCTTGTTTTCTCCTGCCAGCTTTCCCTTCTAACCTGCAGCTTTGCCCTTACAAATTTTGCTTTTGCATGCTGGTAGTTATTGTGATGTTCTTGGTTTGGCCTGGTCTCTGCTATCTTTCTGGATGTTTCTACTTCATTATGTAAATTTTCTAGCTCATTACTCCAGTATGGCTTATAATGCTTACGGGCACCTCTTGGTATTGATTCTCCTGCTGCCTTTAGTACGCATTTGTTAAATTCTTTAACTACTTTGTTTATATCCTGGTCTACGCTGAGACTTCCAAGCAGTATACTGGTACGGTGCTTGAACATTGTCCAGTCAGCCTTCTTGTAGTTCCACCTTGGCAGCGTACTAGTTTCTCTGACCTTCTCATTTTCTACATTCAGGAAGACCGGTCGATGGTCACTGCCTCCCAGTTGATTTCCAACAACTCGTTTAATGTTCCATTCCAGATCTGGAGAGTGAAATGCTAGGTCTGGGGTAGTAGTGGTGTGCCACGACCTCGAGTAGAATGTGGGTGGATCAGTTGGCCTATTAATAAGTACAAATCTGTTCTCATCCTGCCACTCCTCCAGTTTCTCTCCTCTCTGGTCTATATGGTCATATCCCCAGCTTTGTGAGTGGCTGTTAAAGTCTCCACATAGAATCATCTTTTCTTCCACTGGGATTGTGTCTAAAGCCTGGGGACGATCACTTGGGCAGTAATAATTGATCAGGTAGAAGTCTGTATTTCCAGTTTGTAGTTTCAGAATCTGATATTCTGCTCCATCCATATATACTTCAGTCTGGCACGCAGTGATATTGTTCCTCACAAGAGTCAATATTCCCCCCTTTTTCCTGCCTTTCCGGTCTGATCGGAAGCACTGATAACCTCTGATTTTGAAGACTGTGTCTTCAGTGAGGTGGGTTTCTTGTAGACAGCATATATGAATCTGTTCCTCATTTAGAATATTTTCTAACTCTAGCTTTTTATTTGTAATCCCCTCTGCATTCCAGTGCATTAATTTGACTCCAGATGCTCTATTCTCACGTCCCCTGGCTCCACAGGACATTTGAGAAGGACCTCCAGTAATTTGGGTTGGGCCTCTTCGAGGCAGAGGGCCCGGCACTGCTCCTGTCTGAGAGTCCATCACAGGGCGAGCACCATAACGTTTTGCTGATATAGACATATTTCCATGGCGTGTATGCGTGGCATCCTGATTGCTGTGGTGCGCCTCTTGGCTGGTTGCCTCCGACTTCAGCACCTTGTTTTGCTAGGGTAGACTGTGATCATACTCGAGGAGAGTAGGCTCATCCATTTGTCTTTCGCCTTTACCTCGTTTGTTGTCCCATCCAGTTTCCCGCTGGGGGTTGAGACCCCAACCTTCAACTGGATTGCTGGGGAGAACAGGGTCCACCACGTGAAGGTGAGGTAGGCTTGAGCAAGAGAGGCTAATAGACATTAAGAGTCTTGTATTGCGCATCATTGCTCCATTAGGACCCCATAGATAGGTACATAAATTAACGAACACAGTAAGAGATATCTGAATGTTTAATCAGACTAAAAGATGGTCATACACACAGACTATTCATCAGATAATAAATCAATCAGACAGGCGGACAGATAGACATTCAAATGAATAGAAAACACACACACAAATATAGATTGTAAGAAAGATATATCTGATGAATGACTTGACGTTTTACTCCACCGGGTCATCACCGAAAGCGATAAACACCCGGTGACACAGAGTGCAACCATTTGGATGAGGATCATCTGGGGACTGGGTCCCAGAAACCTCGTTCAGCCCACAGGTTGGGTTATATTAGGGCCCCCGGCAACAGCCGAAGTAGGGCTTCAATATAAAGAAAAATTACGTCCTAAACAGGAATGCTTGTTGCGTTTAACATAATTGATGAATGTTGTACCTTTGCTTGCAGTGTTTTGCCTTTCCAAACGTGTCCATGAAGTTTCCCAAGAGCCTCATCTCTATCTTGCTCATTTCTGCAACATAAAAAAAGCTATTACTGTTAATGGGGCCATAGTAACTCACTGCTAGCAGGCCCACATGCCACGACACTGGGCTACAACCTTGCATCAAAAGAAATAAAAGGTTGCAACTTCACAGCCCGATAACCCCTATGTTTCTGTGCAGTGTAAGTCACAGAAAAGCAAAATGTTAACTGTAAAAACAATAAGCGTCGAAGACAATACAACTCGATACCCCTGTAACAGAGAGTCGCACGTGTGAAAGGCCAGCAAGCATGAATGAACGATGAATCACAGTGTGTATGGGCTGGAAATCATTGTGTGTGCCTGGCATTCAGTACAGATTAAATATACTCAAAAAAAATTTAGTATTGCTGGCATTAATAAGAAAATAACACATAAAACAAACATATGTGACATACTGATGAATTTAAATACATGTGAGAAAATGATTACACGGGTGAAAAAAAGAACTTACTTAAAACAGACGTACGTGACATAACGTTTATCACTCTTAATCTTGTGGGGATTTAGTTTCAGGTGAGACTTGAGCCTTTTCTTCAAATCCTGAAACATGAAAATACACAAACCAGTTGTTTCACACTAATGCAATCTTGACAATAACGAAATAGTAAACAAACAGAAATAACTCATCTTGATTTTGTCACTAGTAAACGCTGGTGTGATGGGAAATGAACAGGAGGACAGACTGGCTGTGCACAACTTGGTGGAATAATGATGCATGATAAGGCAGACGTGGTTAGTGCCTTGTGAGAGAGTGTGTATAGTTGAGAGAAGCCGATAGATCACCATAGTCTGGTGAGATTGATACGGCCGGGAGCGGCGAGAGGTTCTGGCAGATGCTCGAGGCTCTGAGGAAAGGAAAGACGTACGTTTTATCAGAATGCTACCGGCACCAGTAGTATCAAAACTCTTCACTGGCTGCTGAAGATGGGGACAGAGTGCTTATAGGAATGCCCAGAGTGCTGTATGTTGGTTCTTGAATCAGCTCAAAAAACTCATCAGGCTCTCAGAGATGTGGCGGTTCAGAAGAATGCTTAGAATTCCTTGGACTGCTTCAGTAATCTTGGTATGTTGAAGAAGAATGTTGAATCTTAAATGTTGAATTAAGAATCGACATCATAGCAATCAGGACACTCCCATAAGCGCTCCGTCCTTCACCCAATGTTTAAGAAGGCTTAGGTCTGAAGATAACTTCAACAAACATCACAAAGACATTCATCATTTTTGTGCCATGTTATACCAGAAATAAACAATCAATAAGCATGCCCATTACAGAACATTGGTCTCATCTTCTTCTTCTGCCTTTCTAGCAGCCCCCCACCCTCCCCCAATGGAGCATAGGCCCTACCCCAACTCAAGCAGAGTCATTCTATCATTTGCTTTCGCATGCAGCTCTCCCCATCTTTCTAACTTCATTCTCCAGCTCCCTTCTCCATGTGTTTTTTGGTTGGTCGCATCACAGCATGTTTTTCTTTCTCCAGCCAATTTTCCAGCCCTATGTGTTTTCAGATCCAATGCATCTTCACTGTCTCCACCTTCACTGAGGTCTCTCTGCATCTGCATTTTCTGGAAACAGTACCCTCCGCCACTGTCCCGTCCAGGCCATCATGATGTGTAATTTAACATGATCAAAACACCGCAGCTTTCGTGGCAGGATGCTGTTTATGAGCCAATTCTCCTCAATGCTCAGATCATGTAAACATGTAGGATGTCAATGTCTTCTTCTTTATCCATGGTATTCTTAGAATTTGTCTGCAGAGAGAGATAGTGGAAGAAAACAAGACAAGGTTTTTGAAAGCCTTTTGTTATGGAATGAAATTCATCGGCTTAGTCGACCTATGCTTCATTAATATAAATTTCTGTAACCTATGGTGCCATTTCAATGGTTTGAAATGAATTATGTCTGTATTCCATAGCTGTGCATTTCAATCTGTTTGACAGGCATGCCCAATAAGACACCTGTTTTTCGGGGTGCCTAGTTGACCATGTTCTTAGTGCACTTGTTTCCAAAGGGAGGCGCATGCGCCATCTGGAGGTGACAGGTTCAATTCCCCGCACGGTAACTAAAGCTTTCAATTTTTATGTTGTCTAGTGCGTTCTTCTATCTTTTTACTTCTTTCTATGAGCGACGATCAATACACTGTCTGTTACTTTATTAATATATAATATTTAACGGCCTCAAGCGTTCCACCTCTGTTTGTTTATGGAATGGAAGAGTGTCAGCAGACGAACAGATGCATGCTTCTGAAGGTCGCAAGATGTGAAGAAACATGATCACCCATGACAACAAGTAAAGCACCTGATAATGAAGATGAAACCGCAAGCCATTGATTTGTTTTTGCTTAAACAAAGAATGTGAAGAAAAAAAGACTTCTAAAATTCTACATACAGCCATTGAGCCATTATGGAGTAGTGACAAGACTCTTGACTGCAGATACAAAGGTCGTGGATTCAAATCCAAAGTAAGCCTGACTTTTTGTGTGTGCTAAAAAATGTCATTGCCGCCAAGGTTGACCTAGCCTTAAATGGGTACCAGGTAAATTCCTGGGAAGTAAAAGCAGCTTGAGTGATGGTGGTAATAAGCAAACCAAACATTTTGCTGAGACCTCGGAGATGTGGTTTTACAGAAGAATCCTAACATGGACAGCAAAACAGAGCAACCCAGATTTGTTTAAAGTTGTGAGGGCTAGAAAACAACTTAGCACAATCAGAAAGACTTAGTCCTCACTTTTTGGTCATGCCATGAGGAAAAGGAAAGACAAGAGAGACCCACACAAACACTGAAATCAGAAGGTCAGTGACAGAGAAATAACTAGTAACAAATCAACAGAGTAAGGGGGAAAAAATAAAATACACTGTTCAACTTGAATCCAAAGATATACCACACAGAAAAACAGGGTCAGAGAACACACCCCACCCCCAATATATATATATATACTTAGATGTACTTACATTAAATCCAAACTTGGGAAGATTATGAATTTGAATCTTGAAGATTTCTGAAGTGAACTCTTCAGATTTAGTGTAACTGAGAGGATCCAACAATCCTGTCTGTGATTTAGCACCACTGCCTAACTCAGATGCATCTTCTATAGCTGTAGGATGTGCCACGTCCACCTCACCGACAACCTGCGGTGCTGTTTTAGCATCATTTTGATGATTAAGACTGTTACCCACAGCGTCCGTCTGCAGGGAAGAATGTTGTAGATGTGTGTTTTCTGCACCTTCTACAGTTTTCATACCAGCTGCTAATTCAGAAGCATCCCCAGAAGTTAAGGTATCTGCCATGTCAGCCTCCTCATCAACAATCTGCGGTGGCTTTAGTGCATTATTTTGATGGGTGAGACTGTTACCCACAGAGTCTATCTGTAGGGCAGAATGCTGTTGTATGCTTTCTGTTTCTTCAAGCAAGATGTTTGCAGGTGTAACCTTGTTGCTCAGACCATTGTCATGGGTGTTTTCACCTGCTAATACTTCAGTGGTTGCATCCATTACTTCAAGTTTTGGTCTCTTGGCATCTTCTGCTACATCCTCAACGTATGTCTGACTTCGCTTTTCAGCCATCTCTGTCAAGTTCTGTAAATAAAGAACCTTATCATTTACTACATAATGCAATGATTCCCAAACTGTGCGCCATGGCGCCCAGGGAAGCCGCAACCTCTTCAGATGGGTGCCGTGAAATTTCCGAAGATACGCGAGTTTTATTTGTTTTGATGTCTTACATATAGTCATACTTTTACTTAGGTTAGGGTGCTGTGGGAAAAATTTAATTGAAAAAGTGTGCCGCAACTCAACTAAAAAATGTTTGGGAAACACATAATGTAATGAATGAATGTAAGGAAATAAACGCAAATATTCTAACAACATGTGTCTTTCGTGCAGCAAAATGAGGATGTGAGCCATGAACTATCTCGCAGTCATTATGGAAGAAAAAGAGGATTTTGAGCTTAAATGTTTCGGAAAGATTTACAGAATATCATGCAACAAGAAGAACAGACATACTGACATCCTAAAAGATCTGACCATCAAAGGAGATCGGCTAGTAAACAGAATCTTGTCCCTGAAACTGACATAAGTGCTATTTGTTGGTTATGTCTGCTACCGTTAATGATAAACTGCATTTCTAGTGTCGACTGTTTGTGTTGGCACTTCTGATGGCTACCGTATGCTTTTAATGCGTGTGTATGCTAGTGCATATGCTGAAACAGCAGTCTGTCAATCTCTCCACAAGGGACTGTGATCAACATTCTGTGTGTTTTTCTTTGACACAGGAGCGGAACAACTATGGGGTGACCTATTTGCAATGTAGCTATAACTAACATTACAATTACCATTACCATATGTTCGCATATCAAGCACCACAATGGATTGGAAAGAATAACAGAAGGCACAGTAGCAGAAAAGATGATGAGTGGCTGACCAGTAGAAAGATGGGCATAGGATATAAGTGACACTATGGGTAGAAAGTTTATGAGGTAGGAGATCTGACAAGAGAACGAGTTTCTTTCAGGCAAGCAGTAATGACAATGATCTTCTGCAAAGAACGTGTTTTGATGAATGAATAAATTAATATCACTAGAACATCCTGTAGTCGTATGTACTTCATACCCTTCTTTGGGCAGTCAATTAAGTGTCCGCATGCTAATGGTGCCTGTTACAGCCAGATTTAAAGTGGATAAAAGAAATTAAAAAAAAACCTAATCCAGATACTCTCTTCACTCCAGAAACACCAATCAATGGTATAACACATTTATATTAGGGACTTTGTTGGTTATCCCCTCCAGGGTTCAGTCCACAGGATTAACACCTCAAGGATGAGAATCTCACTGTGGAAACATAAATCCTGGTAAGCCCTGTTCAACGATAAGGTTATATTGGCTGGATTTGCACTACTGGGTGGTGAATTGATGCATGACAAGGCAGATGTAGTCAAGGCGCTTTGGGAATAAGCAACGGAATAAGTAGAGAAGCAAGATTATTATGGTCTGGAGAGAATGAGGCACCTGGCTGTAACCAGAGAGTCTAGCTGGCTCACTACGGTCAGAGGAAAGGCAAGACAGACATATAACCAGATTTTGACCAGTACCATCAGTATTGGCTGCTGAAGATAAGGACAGAGCACACATGCGAATGCCCTGCGTGCTGTGATGTCAATTCAACTCAACTTAGGCATCTGGCAGTTTATGAATTCAAAGCTAAGAGGTGAGATCACAGCATTTGCGACATTTCCATTTCTTATGACAGCATAAGCCTTTTCTTTAGCAGCCATCAGCCTGCAAATCTGATGAATTCTGATGATGCCAATAACAGTTGTTCGATGTCATCAGAGTGTTAAGTTTCGACTAGATCCCCTGATCCCCCCGTGTGGATTCCGGGGCCCCATTATGGGGAAAACAAGAATAGACTTACTGCCTCCCCAAAAGCATGTCGTGAGAGCCTCGACTAATTGGGGAACTTCCTTTATAGTCGGATTTCATCTGCCGGAGAGGCAAGGAGCCAACAGTCTGTATTCAAGAGAATGAGATCTGTAAAACTGATGCACACGCTGGAGCAGGACTGCAGTTCACTAGTGGACGGGCAACCAGAGCTTTCCGCCAGAGTGTACAGCTGGTGAAGGCGAAGAAGATGAAGAAAAAGAATTTCCTGATCACTCTAGCTGTACTAACTATTCTCTCCAGACCTTAATGTTTGGTTCGTGCCTCTGTATTGTTCACCTGCTGCCAAAAGAACCAAAAGGGTCATGATGACCACATTAGCTGTCATCATATACTGTCACACATAGGTTCACCCACGACCAACCCCAGCTGACAGGCCATGCTGCTGATGTCACCCAGTAAGGCTAATGATGTGTTAATACAGCGGCTCTCAAACTGGGTGCCGGGGCAATGATCAAGAAAAATAGGCTAAAACTTGTGAAATTATTAAAGAAGGCAGGTAGATACTTAAAAGTTAAAATTTAAGTTGTCTTCCCTTGCCACTGTCAAAAATAGTGTTTGAAAACCGCTGCATTAACGCATCATAAACCCGACCTGGTGATGTCAGCGGCATGTCACGTTACATCAGCTGGAGCCGGTCATGGTTTCCCCATCACAGTTGCAAACCCAGCCAATTTGGCTCTGCATGTTCAACTTCTTTCCCAAAACTCATGAATGCATGCTTCAGAAAAAAACTGCAATAGAACTCTAACTACCCGGAAACACTAAAGTGATGTTTGTCATTTGTCACCCTGCACAAAGCATGACTGTCTCAATCTCCACCTTTGTGAGTCGGTTGTGACGGATCCTATATACCAAAGCGAAGCAATCTGAGATCCGGAATCAGCGGTCGTACTGTCAAATACATTTATGGGCTACCCTCTGAAAAAATGGTCCTAAATTATCGAGGTGGAAAATATACCCTAACAGGGCCTCAGTCATGTGTCGATTGCGCATTTCTGTCATCTTAAATTGCGCGCTGCCAGCGACTTCCACCACCGAGAGTATCCCCCACGCCGCTCATGCGGCGTGGATTGCAGCTAAACTAGATGGCTGGGACTCACGAGCAGGAGCTACCGCATCTCCTGCAGCTTCCTTCATTTTATTTGCTTGTGAGTCCTAGCCATCTAGTTTAGCCCCAATCCATGCGGCGTGAGGGATACTCTTGACGGAAGTTCGCAATTCGGCTGTGGCGTTATAGTCCCCGGAAGTGTGCAACTGACACGTGACTGAGGCCCTGTTAGGGTATTATTTTCCGCCTGGATACTAGGACCGTTATTAGGAGGATAGCATGAAATCCTTGCAGCTACGTCTGCTACGAAGTAGCATGCATTCTCATGAAGTGAAGTTTAAATAATGGATCATCATCATGGCAAACTGGTAGTAATCAATAAGTGCTCCGTTCTTCTCTTCTAGCTCACAAGTCTGAGTCCGAAGACGGAAGCTCAGCACAGTGAACAGGTGCTTCTTTAGCACCGGCGAGGATCCTGAAATAATACTTTTATTTTAGTATTTTAAATCTAAATTTTGCCCACGCAGCGCCATTATTAGGCTACTGTTACTCTTTTCGATTTCCAACTGCCAAGGGTTTTTTTACGTGCGCAACAATACACACGGGCGTCCGATATCACTATCCAGAGAGACCAGGGGGAATTAATTACTAATAATTACTTAGATTTTAATTTTAGATTACTTAGAACTTAGAAGACCAAGTGCAAGTCCACGTGAAAAAAATCCCAGCCCTTAACGGGGATTGAACCTCTAGCACCCGAGGCGGACAAAATGCCCCGAGACCATGCAGCCCCCCCCCCCCCTTTTCTAATGGAATTATTTATACATACCAACAATAAAAACATCGTCACAAATATATAAAGTCAAAAAACTCACCCACACAACGTTGTTCTGTACTACCAATGCTATCAATTGAACGTGGAGATTACTTGTGACAGTTTAGCAGTCAAATTTGAATCATAGTTGCAGGTGTGCGTACAATTTTCGTGCCATATAATGAAAAGATAATCATCGTTACCATAATCTTCAACTTTATGAACTGCACGAAAAACAGAAAGAACTGCAGAAAATGATGGATAATGTGGTGTTCGAAATTGGAAGGATGGGTCTCAGATTGAATAAATGTGAAAAAAAAAGGTCAATGGTGTTATTTTAGGACAAGTACAGAAATTTAAGTATCCGGGCCCATGGATAACATTCGTAAAATATGAAATAATTTTTACTTTCATCAGCAACACCCACATGTCCCAGAAAAATCCACAAGGATTTTAAAATGTATCGTTATAGCTTACAATTGCGTTCAATAATATCATTTAGTGTTTTCATTGATTCTCAAAAACTGAAGTAATGACCATAGGAAAGAAACACAGTAATGTAAACATAAAGATCAATGACATACAATTAGAACAAGTTCAAGAATTCAAGTACTTAGGATGCATATTTACAGAAGATGGAAGACTCGATAAAGAGATACAGGCTAGAGTTCAAAAAGCCAATGCAGTCAACTACCAACTGGCCCCACTTCTTCGTCATCCAAAGATCTCGTTACCAGCCAAACAATGGATGATCAACAGCATTTTCATCCCTACGTTATGTTATCAGTGCCAAACGTGGACAATGAACAAATCACATATGCAAAAAATAACCACGTGTGAAATGCGATGTCTTCGAAGAGTCACCAACAATACACGAAGAGACAGAGTCACAAAAGTCAGCATTAGAGACAAAGTTGGAACAAGATCATGCATGAAACATTGAAAGACAGAGAATGAAGTGGTTTGGTCATTTAGTAAGAATGCAACCGGATCAGATTGCCTATAAGGCTTTTTACAATAGAACATAGGGAAGAAAGGCCAGAGGAAGACCCAGGAAAAAATGGATACATGGAGTAGCTGAATACGGCCAGAAGATTCAGAAAACTGTCACTAAAATCACGCGTGAGGCACAAAACAAATATTTTAAACCACGACACTGGGCTGCAACCCGGTAAAAGTGAAGAAGACAATAGATAGATAGAAAGATTGATTCTGCAAATTCTCTCATCGACGGCATTACAACAATTTACTATGGACATAAATCATGTAGGGCCTATATATTTTGTGAACAAAGTTTAACAATTTTCAAAAAAATAGTTCAAATATATTATATGACCTTTGAATTTTAAGTGACTGACTGACTTTCTACCCCACCAGGACATCACACAAGCGACAAACACCCGATGACACAAAGTGTCACCATGCGGATGAGGATCGCCGTGGAGAGGTCCCAGAAACCGCGTTCAGACAATTGGCCATATCTATGGCCTGCCTATATTGCGGCCCCTGGCAAAAGCCATGGTAGGGCTTCAAATATCGAAAAATTTCGTCCTAATATGGACGAAAAAGATATTAAGTGTAAGTCTATGAGACTTAATGAGTTCTGGATACGTTAAAAATTTTTTTTTTTAAATGAATATTTTCAAAAACATGTGCAGTTTGTTTGAACATTCAGTAAATATAAATGTATATAACACAATACATCTGAAGCAGTATTTCTTCAAATATTAGTCAGGTGTGGTCATGTTTACATTGCGCTTATTTTTGCGCACTTTAATCGTTAAACAAAATAGCCGTTCCCCTGCTGTTTGTCTCCCTGCTGTTTGTCTCCCTGCTGTTTGTCTCCCTGCTGTTTGTCTCGCTGCTGTTTGTCTCCCTGCTGTTTGTCTCCCTGCTGTTTGTCTCCCTGCTGTTTGTCTCCCTGCTGTTTGTCTCGCTGCTGTTTGTCTCCCTGCTGTTTGTCACCCTGCTGTTTGTCTCCCTGCTGTTTGTCTCCCTGCTGTTTGTCTCCCTGCTGTTTGTCTCCCTGCTGTTTGTCTCCCTTATGTTTGTCTCGCTGCTGTTTGTCTCCCTGCTGTTTGTCTCCCTGCTGTTTGTCTCCCTGCTGTTTATCTCGCTGCTGTTTGTCTCGCTGCTGTTTGTCTCCCTGCTGTTTGTCTCCCTGCTGCATTCCACAGATCAGATAAACCACTAGTGTGCTAAATGTACATATGACTTTTTACTCTTGTTTGCATCATTATTTGTGATGTACTGTACAATGTACATCTTTTAACATTGCATGTGTGAAGTGAAGTACTGTCTTTTTTTTTTTTTTTTTTTTTTTGCAGTTGTTGTAACTGACATAACATTGTATGGTGATTTGATAGACTTTGTTTAACTAGATGTTCCTACGTTAGCCTTGGTGTTGATGTAGTGTATCAATAAATATTACTTTAAAAATTTTAAAAAAAAAAATTTTTGCCGCGATGCGGGGGTGTCCTACCGGGGAAATTTCAATGCCCGCCTTGCGGGCCCTTTAATGAAATGTATAAAAAAAAATTATGCTTTGTCAACAGAAGAGTTATACAGAACGTATTTAGTAAAATAAGAAGTCAGTTACAGAATTTGTCAAAAAAAATTTCATTTACTTTTAAAATGCAACAATACATTTTAAGGAGAAAATCATAATTTGTCGGCAATATTATGAGATGAGGGAAAATGGAACATGTTGTGACCATAGGAAGATCTGTGGAAGGAGGGATAGAGGAAGTCAGTGAGAGAATATTCTTGACAGACTCACAACCCATGGTGATGGCCAGTGTGACTAGAAAGACCCGCTCGTTTAAAAAAAATCTTCCACAATGATAGTTTGGGATTTCAGGACCATTGTGTTTAATCCTTTTCTTCTCAGTCGCTCAGCTCACATCCTTTCTGCAGTAATTTCTTCCTTCACTGTCATTCCCTTTCTGATATGCCCTTTCCACAGCATGGTCCATGGCATGGGTATGTAAGTACATAACACTGTCCATGGCATGGGTATGTAAGTACATAACACGGTCCATGGCATGGGTATGTAAGTACACAACACGGTCAATGGCATGGGTATGTAAGTACACAACACGGTCAATGGCATGGGTATGTAAGTACACAACACGGTCCATGGCATGGGTATGTAAGTACACAACACGGTCCATGGCATGGGTATGTAAGTACACAACACGGTCCATGGCATGGGTATGTAAGTAAGTGAGTGAGATTAAACCACACCATGACACAACCAAGAAACAAACACCCGGAGACACAAAATGCAAAAAGACAAAAAATTCTAATGAAGATCACGGGGTGAGAGGTCCCAGAAACCCCGTTCAACCGTTAGGTTATATTAGGGCCCCGACTACAGCCGGGTGGGAGCTTTAAAATAACAAAAAGTTGCATCCTATGTTGAGACGGCAGATATAGTGTGTAAGTAACTAGCTGTCGCCCAAAAATAACAATAAATGATGTAGAAATACACAATGTCACAAACTTTGAATATCTAGGCTCTAGAATAAATAGCAATGAAGACTAGTTGACACCGCTCAAAAGGAGGATGGCCTTACCAATGTAGAAATTAAACAGCGTTAAAGGTCTTTAATTATGCACCAGCTATGAAATAACAATTCTGGGAGCATGCATTTTCCCTTTAGCAACATACAGATCTGCGTCGTGGAATATCTTAAAAAAATAAAATAAGAACTTTGGAGGGCAAATGCTATTAAAAGATTCTCATAATACCACGGACAAAGAAAAAAAAGCATTACCGACATTTCAAAAGATCCGAACATCAAGGAACATTGGTTAATAAACAACATCTTGTCTCGCAAACTGAAATGTTATGGTCATGTCAAACGCCATGCATGGCGGATCTGACAAAGTAATAACAGTGATTTGATTTGATTCAAGAACCGACGCCAAAGCACTCGGGGCATTCCCATAAGCGCTCCGTCCCCATCTTTGGCAGCCAGCAAAGAGTTCCTATACTAATGGTGCCAGTAGCATTCTGATTAAACGTCTGTCTTGCCTTTCCTCTGAGCCTCGAGCATCTGCCAGAACCTCTCGTCACCCCCAACTGCATCAATCTCATCAGACTGTGGCGATCCATCTGCTCCTCCGAATTGTACATGCTCTCCCACAAGGCACTAACCACGTCTGCCTTATCATGTATCAATATTCCACCAAGTTGCACAGAGCCAGCCAGTGTGTCCGCCTGCTCATTTCCCAACACACCGGCGTGACCCTGTGAAAAAATCAAGACAATACTCCTCAATCGTGTCCTCCGCAGCGAAGCATGCCACTCTGCACGAAGCATACCTGTTCTGATCTTCCTCAGCATGGTTTCTGAATTAGTTACAATCACGATGTGTGTGTGTGTGTGTGTGTGTGTGTGTGTGTGTGTGTGGCATGTTCTCTAGCTAGCGGAAAGCTGCTGACTGTTCAGGTGGCACTTTGACCCACTCCTCTCCTAATAACAGTAAAGACGGCATGGTACAATGAAGGAGGGGCCGACCAACACGAAGATAGGCATATGATATAAGTGAGTCTTGAATATGAAACTACACGACGCGGGAGAGCTGGCGAGAGACCGAGTTCCTTTCGGGCAGACCGTGATGAGAGCGACGTTCTGCAAAGGACCAGCTACATGACGATGATGGGTGTGTAAGTGTACAGTGTTAAGTAACGATTGCAGTATCACCATAAAGTCCCTGTTCATTTCCCTTCAATGTGACTGACTGACTTTCTACCCCACCAGGACATCACACAAGCGATAAACACCCGATGACACAATGTGCCACCATGTGGATGAGGATCACCGTGGAGAGGTCCCAGAAAATATGTATGGCCAGGCTATATTGCGGCCCCTGGCAAATCCAGAGTAGGGCTTTAAATAACGAACAATTTCACCCTAAAAATGACGGGAAGTGATATTGTAGTGTACACATTTCAATGTGTGCAAATCAATACTGATATATTTATTTCTTACGCAATAGGGATACGTGGGAACAGGAAGTAGCAGCATTGCGCATGACAGCTGACGTGTTATTGTCGGGGTTAGAGCAAGAGGGGGCCAACAGAAAACATTAGGTCCAACTGGGAGCCGGGATTTATCTCTCTCTGTCGGTTAAGTAAGTTTAATTTCTGTTTGTTTAGCATTGGTAATGATATCAACAGCATCTTGTTTAACCTTTATTGCATATGCTTAACTTACGATATACAGTGTAAACAGCCGAGTTTTGTGTGTGTGGTATACTTCATAACTCATTCATTCAAGTCTTAAAGTTAAAGTTTTAGTTTAAACTTACCAGCTGACAAACAGACTAACACGGTAAATTGAATGTTGAATTAAAGAATCAATATCACAGCACTCGGGACACTCCCATAAGTGTTCAGTCCCCAGACCTCAGCAGCAAGCAAAGAGTTCCTGTTCTGATGGTATCAATAACCGTCTGATTATCCATATCTCATCCATCACAGTGAATGTAGAAAAAGACAAATAAGAGACAAAGAGAAGATAAATACCACTGGATTGATGGCATTTTTTTTTTAGAAATAAACCCAACCCTGCTATATGATGCAGAAATATGCACAGTAAAGAAGCAGCTAGAGAATCGAGCATAAATCTTTGGAGATTGGTCATGTAAAAAAAAAGGGGGGGGGGGGGGGACCCTGTCAGATACAAAACATATGCAAAGATCAAAGACTAGCAATAAAAAGAGAGTTGCGGACTAATATTTAAAAAAAAAAAGAGAGAGACAAGCAAAATATGTTGTCTACTGACAAGACATCGACCTGGCCGCTTCGAGATACTCAGCAATGTGATTTTTTTGTATTTGTGTGGTATTGTTTTATTTATGTATGTGCTGATGAAGGCTCCATAGCCACATCATTCGCGTTTTGTTTGTGTCCATTATATTTTGAAGCTTGCTGATGAACTTTTCATTCGGTTTTACATCTTTTCTAGTAAAAGACACAACAATCTTATACAAACCTTACAAAGCTTAACAGGTAATGTCAAGAGGATCGACTTCATTGCACCAGGTTTGATCCCATTTGGCTCGGCCTCTCGGTAGAATGGCTTAATGGGTGCCGAGAGTGCCGCACATGAATTTCTTAACTCTAGTGATGTTTCCCAGGAATCTCTGCAAACATTTTACTTGTGAGCTGAGCGACGCAGCCGTAAAACGCACCTTTGACCTTTAGAGTGGGAGGCAGAGAAACCCCTGTTATAAAAACCTTAACAGAAGGTAACTTTGAGTGCAACGAGCAAGAGGTATACTGCGTTAGATGTGGAAAAATAACATCAAGAGGTGGATTGGTTTATGGTTTATGCAGTGGATCAACATCATGGCACAAGGGTAGTAACCCGTAAGTGCTTCGTTCTGCAGGGAATTTCATGGCAGTGCACGGACTCTGTAGCAACGGTGATAATCCTGAAATACTTTGATTAGATTTTAGATTAGATAACCTATAAGTGTTCTGTTCTTCTTCTAACTCAAGTCTGAAGAAGCTCAGCATAGTGCACAAGCTCTGTAGAACTGGAGAGGATCCTGAAATACTTTGGGTTGATAATTAACTTCAAATTTTGCCCGGACAGCTCCGTTAGGCTACTCTCTTATTTTTCCAAATGTTTACGTGTGCAACAGTACAGCACTCCAGCTCTCGAGGTGGACGCCATGCCTCAAGACCACTAAGCCCCCCCCCCCCCCCCCAAAAAAAAAAAGAGATGGATGAGAGAGCATACACCCAGGCTGAAAGACATAGCATGCTAAAGAGCCATTGCAGCCATCCTTCATTATTGAGAGACGAGACCTGATTAAATGATTGTAAAAGATAACACCGCTAACAATTTAACCCTCAATCTATTATATATTTGGGAAGGTGCACATAATGTACTCAGCAAAATTTTTTTTTTTAAATGACTCTAGCTGCCAGGTTGGCCCAGCCTAAAATGGTTACCAGGTAAAGTCCTGGATAGTAAAAATGGCTGGCGTGACGTTGACTTCTTCTCCCACAAAGTGCTGATTGGTCTATAAAATATAAGATCTAACCCAGTGTTTCCCACAGTTGGGCCCAACCCAATTTGATTGCTAGGGGACATTTGAAAATTGTCTTCTCTAGAGTTTAAGTTAGACAGATGGCAGGAGAATTTTAGAA